AGTGGTGCCGCCAGCAGGGCGCACCACGAATAACTGCGCTTCTCCGTTCGCCCAGACTTCGCTCATACTTCGCAATCCAACTTCGTTCGCGATCACTGAGTGGACACTCAGCGATGTGTCGTCGCCATTCGTCATGAGTTGGGCGTGGAGTCGAGTCACAAGATTGGCATCCGATTCCAACGTTGGATGAAGGCGAACCAAGAACGTTGTAGAGCTTCATGCTCGATTCCATCAAGACCTTTCCCGCGCAGCTTTCGAAATCGGCGGAAGTAGTCCCGCATCATGTCCAGTGAGTCCGGAGCGTGAGCTCCGGACAAGTCGTACAGCGACCAAGGTATGAGCTGCCGCGCCATGATGTTGGTTGATGCACTCCCGCTGACGTTCCTTGGGAGTGCTGCTGGACTGGGTGTTGGGTCTCCGGACATTTCTTGTTCGTTTGTGGGCGAAGGGTTTTCGACAGTTGAGCACTCACGGTTGGTGAGTGCTGTCATGAGAAGGGGGTGATGTAATGGGCTACATTACACATATAGCATTAACACAAATAGACAATTACATATGTAGACAGGTGCTGGGCCCGAATAGCGGGCACAGCGTGGTAATTTATTATTGGTTTATTATTGGGCCTAAAGTCCCCAATATGGACCAATGATAAATCAACCTGAAATTGTGTGGTTCCCGAAAGGCGGGAACACTGTCGTATTTATTACGACTAAAATCTTCGTAATTAGTACGAATTAAAACCAAAATAAAAATCAGAGTTAAATTTACTTAATACCTAATACTTAAGCTTGAGTCTTCCTCAAGCGCACGTGTAAGCTAGTGACGGTACGTTCTAGCCCCGTTACAGATCCAAGGGTCACTCGTTTCGACGTGCCCTTGATCGTCTTAATACGTCTGGTGCTAGTTCTTCGAGTCACCACGACCTTTGACCTGGAAGAAGGTGTCGTTGCTATCTCAGCTAACGCACTCCTTCCAACCGCACCAGGCTCTTGGCTCTGTGCCGGTTCTTGTGGCGCTTGACTTCCTGTCAGCCCACCATCAACTGCCACAGGCTCTCGGCTCTGTGCAGGACCATTGGACGCATGACTACCTGTCATGGCCCCATTCACTACACCAGTCTCTTCGACCTGGGTAGGAATATGTGTCACCTGGCTTTCCGCCAGTGCACTTCCAACTACACCACTCCTTTCGAGCTGGGTAGTTCCTGGTGTCGATTGACATACCTTCATCGCACCCTCGACTGTGTTGGACACAGCATCAGCCACATAAGCCTCTTTCAAGAGCACATCCTTTCCGGTGTCTTGCGTAGAGCTATCGACTGTGCGTGTACACCAGTCTATCCATGGTTGGTGTTTAGCCAACCAAGGCATGCCTAGGATGAGGTCATACGGACTCTCCATACCTAGCACTTTGAACTTCTCTTACAAGAGAAGTCACTGAAACTGAAGGCGAGTTCAACTTGAACTCCCTCCGATTTGACGAGCGCGCCGTTTGCTAAACGAACGATCGCCTCTTCTCGCTTGCCATCCTGGCAAAGCGACTCATAACTCGCCGGTCTCTTTTTCAAAGCCGCGAGTTTCACAAAGTTTTGTGATGCACCCGAATCCACGAGAAGGGTCATCACTTGGTCATAGCCTCGTACTCGAGCGCTATAGACCAAAAGGGTTGAGGTCCGACCATTCGGAACCTCAGGGACTATGCTACTCATTTGTTCGATCACTCTGAACTTAGGGGTAGCTTCAGAGTCCGCGACAGTAGGGCATCCCGCCCCTACTGCGCTCCCGCATTTCCCGACCCATCTTGGGCAGGTGCTGAACCCGTGCGTCGTGCACGCTGGTTTTTCGTACCTCCCTTCGGGTTAGGAGACCTTTTGCTGGCTGCCTTAGCACCAGCAGCTACCTTGGCGTAGCAGCGAGCCATCATACGGCCTCGCTTGCCGCACTTGTAGCAGATCACATCTGCATTGCCTAACTCCATAGGAGTGGCATCAGACTTCTCGGACGACGGCCTGTAATAGGCTGTCGCCGAGGCGCTGTTGTAGGATTGCTCCTCAACTAAGGCAATGTCAATTGCCTCTTCCATCGTCGCTGGAACCTTTCTGAAAAGGGCCTGACGCGATGGGCCATGCCTAAGTCCATTCATGAACGTGGCTACCTTGATACGCTCTGGTATCGGTTCCCCATTGATGGACGCCGACAGCGAACGCATCTTCTGCACAAACTCTTGCAGAGAGCGTTTCGCCTGTCGTGCTCCAAAGAAGCGCGCCATAAGCAACACTTCGTTGTTAGGCGGCTGATACATGGCGCGAATCTTTGCCTTAAAGATCGCCCATGGTGCTACCAAGTGTAGACGGGCACTTCTACGAAGTTGCCTCGTACTACGAGCACACACCTTATGCACAAGCGAGGAAGCGGTTATACCGTCTTACCTTCGCGTGCGAGGGTGGTTGGGAGGTTGGTCGACTGCCTAAGCAGTCGTACCACCAGTTGCCTCTCGCTTAAGCGAGAGTGCAACGAACTTCTTAACACTAGAACACCGACGTCACGCAGAAGTCTTTCAACTTCTCGTGCGTGGTGTGTATGTTTAAGTAAATTCAAGACTGAGATATATTTAATTAATTATAACTAAATATATATTTAACTACTGATTGGCTATATATATTATATAGATTGGATACGCGACTCTTTAGAAGCGTATCCTGTCGCATGATCTTAAATCTAGATTTAAGATCGCAACTGACGTCCTTCTGAGACGTCGTGATGCCTAGCTTCAACTAGCGTCATCCCTTCTCATGTGAATCCATCAATGGATATCACATTCACGAGGGTGGTCACATTTGTGTATCGCACCCAAGTGACTGGTCAAAAGTAATCATGGATACTTTTAGACCAAAAATTAAGTATATTACTTAATGTTTACGTGTAACTAGGTACCCTGTTACAAAAACACTGATAGAACTGCCGGCAGCTAGAACAGAAGACGCACCTCAAACAGCGACACGTAGCGCGCATAAATGCACTTAACGATTGGGAACAGCGAGGCTGGGTCAGCACCGACCGGATCAATGCTTGCTTCTTGTCGTCGTATGCTACGCTTACACGCACGCACGCACAATTGCACTAAACGTGTAAAGACGACCTGGAGTGCATGCACCAGAGGTAACGGAGGGCACAAATCATCATTGCGTAGTGCCCAAAGTAAGTGGAGCCCGATGCAACGAGTAATCTGCCATCTGTCAAGCACCAAAGCAGTAGGGCGGAGTGGATTCTCAAACGATGTAGGAGAACCACAAACACACACAGCGCCGGACTACCGACTCACGGAGGGGGTACCCCGATACCGTGTCGTGTCAACTTTGGGTCTCACCTTGTGTACCCGTCGGCTTGGCTTGTCTTGCTCCTCGTTAGACGAAGAAGACTTAAAGACTTGGTCTTTGTATGGAGGGACTTGGGGGCCCACGAGTGGATATACTTCGCTCGGGCCTGGGGTTCTTGGGCTCAATCTACTGGGTCGAGAGCAGTGCACCTGGTACTATGTACCCCTTCGATGGCTAACGGTTTCTTGGTCCTTGGGCGTCTTTCTATTGTTCCCCGTAGGAAAACCGCTTCCTGTGGCGGGTGTTGGGTGTCTTGACACCTTAGACCAACTATCCTGAGGTTCAATCTGCGTAGCTTGAGCCGTCTAACACCTGCTGACGTCGGGGCCCAAAGGGTATCCCGCCCGAAAGAGGTGGAGCGACGTAGAAGCTAGGAGGGGGCGCTTAGAGCTGCCACGTGTAAAGCAAATTCGAGTGTATTTATTTATCTTATACTTTGTATGCTTATTCTTGCCTCACCCTAACCCTTTGCTCTGGATAGTGCCACGTGTCGACTCTTGGAGGAAGAACTGGCTCCTTAGTATCTGTACTTTCTGTAACCTTCGGGGTTCCGTGTACCGTTTTCGCATCCTCGGACATTGAGCCCATTGTATTGTGGGAACCTAAAACCCTGGTACCCTGGTACTTAACCTTGGACCCGATTCTCCTGGCACTTCTCCACAAAATGACTAATAATATAAAAACAACAAATTTCGAGTAAGCCGGGGCAATTGATCTGATGCGTTAGGAATAGCATCCTTCGTGGTTCACCCCTTCGGGTTCCGTTGCGGCGTTCGCCCTAGCTGAGTCCCTACAACCAACTCTCCAGAAGCCTGTCTGAGCTCAGCACCTTCTGTTCTCTCAAGTCCTGTGACCTCCCACCAATGGGTGGACGCCGGCGCTGTCGCGCTTTTACAGGTCACCGGGCGCAGTTTACGCCCGACTAGAAGGGTTACGGTGCCCTTGGCTGAGGCCCACCGGCTCGTCGATCGATGAGGCTTTCTTTCGCTTCTGCGCGAGCAAGGCCCCTACCCGGGCCGACTTATACTCTTGGTGCTACCAGCGGTCGATACCTCTGCAATCTATGCCTCTCGGATTTCGACGGCAGGCATTGGGCTCATATGATGTACGATGTAGGAGACAAATTGGATTCTGTCATTCATTACACATGTCTATCTCGCTCGCTAACTCTTCACTACTACTACTCATGCAACCTTCTCACTTCGCTCGCACCATACGATTCAACAGGCACGCGATCCTTCCACTCGTCGCGACTGCTCACGCCACGCCATCGCGACTACTCACACCACGCCATCGTGACTGCTCACGGCGTCGCACACGCCATCGCGACTGCTGCCGTACGTCTTCCGCTTCTCTCTTCTCGCTGCAAACTGAAACTCAGCGTTCCCGATACTGACCTTTCGCATCTTCAATGCAACTCTTGCGATCATGCATCACACAGAGCGACTTCTTTCAACACTCCTCCTCGGGCACCTGTGTCTCACCTCTTGGCGTACTAGCCGACACGTACCAGCCCTCGTAGCGTTGCCATCTTGGGCGGATCGACCACCTTGTGCCAGCATGAGTTCTGATCGCACGTGCTAAGCCTCACTCACGCCGCGACGAGCGTAGTCACAGAGAGACTTCAATCGGACGTCGATGTGTTTCGCTTTAGTTGATGTCGCTTCGCCGTTGATCGGCAAATGGCGGCCTGATTGTCGATGCGCATCGTCATTGGTGGTTCTGGTTCCATGCCAATCTCACGCAGCGTTTCACGGATTCCTAACAGCTCCCGTTCCACTTCGGATGCAGCCAAGAATTCAGCTTCCATGGTGCTGAGTGTGACGCCACCTTGCTTCTTCGCGCACCAGCTCACAACCATATCGTTGAGTCGCACAACGCCTCCTGTGATAGACTTGCGATCCTGTTTGTCTGCTGCAAAGTCTGCATCACTGAACGACTCGAGCGTCGGTGCGTCGCCCGCGTCGCGCTCTGGCACCATCTCGATCTTCATTGCGATCGTCTCCTTCGCGATTCCATTCGTGCACACGCGGTTGGTACGTCTGTCGTGTTCCGGACGTGTCCTTTGCAGTACACGACCGTCCGTGTACCGGACGTGTCGTTTGCAGTACATAAAGCAGCACGACACGTCCAGTCGCGTGCATCGTGTGATCCAAAGTAGCGAGCCGACTAGAGACTGGAACGACCTGATCTTCGCGTGCTTGCCTGCGTTGTTATTGTCGAGTAGTTTGCTGTTAGCATCTTGCACTTCGTACACGTCTATTCCAATTGGCGAACGCGTGGTATTCGCGTCGCTTAATCCATGCTCTCGCAGCAACTCGACGATGGCCTCCTCTTGGTTAAAGGCGTAGCTTCCACTTGCCGTCTTGTCCACACGCATTCCGAGAAACTTTGCAACTGGACGGAGGTTTTTGATCGATAGGCACTGCATCACGTCAAAAAACTGATTTACGACTGCCGTAGACGTTCCAGTGACAAGTATGTCGTCGACGTAGACTCCTGCAATCGCGAGCTCTGCGTCCACTCGCTTATTGTATAAGCAGCTGTCGCTGATGCACTGCGTGTCCCGCCTTCGACAAGTCGCTGATGCAACAGCTGACTCCAAAGTCGGCCGGCCTATTTGAGGCCATCGAGACTTTTGCGTAGCTCTAGAGCTAAGTCCTTCGTGCTCGTGACGCCGAGCTCGCGCATGCGCGTCGCTGGTACGTCCATGCCGTTCGGGATGTGCAGTAAGATCTCGAGGTGCGGCTCCTTCGACGCTTTGAAATACGCATTGGGTATGTCACCTTGCTGAGCCGGAACTTCCCACGTCGCAGCAAGTGCCAGGATCACTTTCACTGTGGACATAACCATGACCGCAGCGAAGGTCAGAAAGAAATAAACGCTCAGCGATTGCTCGTTGCCACAGGCAACCAAGCGAGATTTGCGACGTTCGAGCTTACCGTCCGCGGTCGTTTTAGTCTTAAAGACCCACTTGGAATGCAAGACGTTGCTGCCACTCGGACGGCGAACAACTGTTCACACGTCGTTGGCCTCGATAGCCTCGAGCTCCTCCTCCATCACCTTCTTCCAGTTCAAACACTGCGTGCTTTTAATCGCTTCGCGGTAATTCTTCGGATCGGGTTCGAACACGTGGTTCACCACGTCGGTGCTACGAGCGGCCTCGGACGCGAGGAGCGGACTTCTTCGACGCTGCACGTGTGGCGATCGGTTGTCTCGTCCACTTGTGCTTTTTATTTGGCTTCTTGCCAGACACCTTATGCTCACGTTGCGTCGCATGCACTGACTCTTGAACGTCGCTGCTGGTGTTCGTATTTGCACGGTCATTGCTCTCGAGCTCGCGCTGCAGTTGTGCGTTCTGCGCTGTTGGAAGAGTCTCGATGTTCTTGACATGTTGTGTGACGACAACAACGTTGTCCTTGCGCAAGTAAACACGGAACCCTTTCGTCTCGTGGCTTCGACCAACGATGATGCCGACTTAAGCGCGATCGGCGAACGAGTCCTTCCGTGGATCACGGCAAACCGTGCAATGCGAACCAAAGACGACAATTTAACTTAATTCTGGAGCTCGCTTCGTCAGGACTTCAATTGGGGATGCGCGCTTCGTGTTCGCGCTCGTCGGGCTTCTGTTGAGTATGTATGTCGCATACTCAGCAGCGTCTCTCCAGAACGTCAAAGGCAACCCGACGCAAAAATCATCGCCCGCGTCATGTTCAATACCGTCCGATGCATACGCTAGGCTTTTCTGTTTGACGCGTGATTGCGCGCCTCACTCACTTGGCGAGCGACACCAGTCTTCTTGCAAAACAAGTCGACGTTCTGGTACTCTCTTCCGCCGTCTGTGCGCAACACGGCGACATTACAATTGAACTCTCGCTCGAAGAAAGCAAGGAAATGCTCGAACTTCTTTACGTCGGCATTTTTGGTTTTAGCCAGGAAGATGCGGCAGTAGGACACTTTTATGATCGACCAAATTAACAAGATACCGATTCCGCAAACGATTAGCCGGTGTCAATGGCCCTTTGAGATTGCAGCATATCACTCCTCCGACACGATCAATTGGAGATTGCGCGCCGGTGATCTTCTTTCTTTGGCTGTTCTTCGTCTGTTTGCTCTGAGCACACATGATGCACGTCAAACGTCTGTAATCCGTGATGCGAAGCCCACTGCCCGGGTTTTTTGCGATCTTCTCGATCGTGTCATACGACATATGCCCGAACCTCTGATGGAAATTCACGAGTGTCGCTTCTTGCACATCGGGCGACACATCTGCCGTCGCCTTCTCCTCAAGGGCAGCAAAGATCACTTCTGCTGTCTTGATCGCGCTGGACGTCTCGACGACCAGAACACTATTGCGCATCGTAACTTTAAACGCGACGTGTCCATCCGATCGCCGTACGACTTCACGCCCATCGAGTGCGTACTCAAGCTGCTCGAGCTTCCCGTAGCTGATGGGATTGAGCGCAAGACTTGGCGCGTAGTAAACGTCCGACAGCTCGATATGACGCTGCTTGCCGCGCGCTGTCACAAACAGGCGCGCCCGTCCGACCTTCGTGAGCACGAGCTTCTTGTTGTCAGCAAGAGAGATCTTATCGTTGTACTGCTTGCTGTCGATGAGTAAGCGATCGTCGCTCACGATGTGGCGGCTGGCGCCGCTGTCAAGGATCCAGTCGGAGATCGCACCTGCTCGGCTATCGTTCATAGCACTTCTTTGTTGTCGTCTTTGCCCTTCTTCTCCTTTTTCTTAGAGCGTCAGTCCTTCTTCAAATGCCCCTGCTTCTTGCAGTTGTGACACGTGCGCGTTTCCTTGCGCTGTGTCGAGTCATTTGCGACTGCGACGACCTCGCGACCCAGTGACTTGCCGGCACGAATGTCTACCTCGACTGCTTGAGCAAAGTGCGCAAGCTCCTCATCTTGGCGCAAGTAGTCGATACGTCCTGCGTTGAACTTCGCCATGAGAACCGTCGACAGATCCACCGACGCATAGTGTATTATGTTGTCAAGTACCCGCGCCTCGGCGCCTCCTCCACACGCATCGCTCACTGCGACCATGTAGAGATAGTGGTCAGTCCACGAAATCTTGTGGTCTTTCTTGTCCGTGAACAGCTTCATCGATTGCGACGCTGTGATCGTCGTCCGGAACGCTTGATACATGCGCTCCATGATGTGGTAGAGCGTCAGGAGCTGCTCCAACCAAACATCGAATTGCTTATTGTAGTATCGCTCGGCGGTTCCGCCAAGGTAATGCCCAAAGAGATCAACATTAACATCTTCGGGCCACGGGAAGCTGCACGCCTCCTGTAAGAAGTTCACCGCACGGATGAACGAGCGTCTTCAGTCCTGAAAGCCGGCGCCGAGTCCTTGATATAGTTTGGAGCCGTCAAACTTTCGGATCGCGAGCTTGCGCTGACGCGTGTATAGCGTCCGATACTGGCGCAGGTGCAGCAACCGGTGCTGTCGCTGCCTGTTGTTGCATTGGCGCATACGCTTGCTGTGCGTAGGCTTGTTGCATCGCCGGGGCCTGTTGCTGCTGCTGCCCTGGCGCTACTCGAAAACCGAGAGGCTCGAACAACGATTGTCTCATAACCGGAGCTCGCAGACGTGGCCGCGGAGCTGCTGGCGGCTCAGGCGATCGTCTAGGCGGCATGAACCCGAGTGCTTCGCGGTTCATTGGTCCTCCACCAATCCCTCTGCCAAGAGCGGAGTAAAACAGTCCACTGTCGATGGCGCCGCGTAGGCGCTCGTGTTCATCGATATGCATCTGCGACATCTCAAGTCGGTCCATGCGGCTCGTCATGTTCTCGAGAGCAGTAAGAATCCGTCCGTTGATGTCCGAGTATTCGCTCCTTTCGTGAGCAATAGAGTCGACATTAATTGCAGCCGCTGGCGCAGCTGGTGTCGCAGCAGCTGCAGCTCTCGGTGCAGCGGCCCTTTCGTGACCGTCGTCAGCGACGCGTGCTGCAGTGCTTGGCGTGTCGTTCGTCTCGCAGCCAGGCATTGGGCTCATATGATGTACGATGTAGGAGGCAAATTGGATTCTGTCATTCATTACACATGTCTCTCTCGCTCGCTAGCTCTTCACTACTACTACTCATGCAACCTTCTCACTTCGCTCGCACCATACGATCCAACAGGCACGCGATCCTTCCACTCGCCGCGACTGCTTACGCCACGCTATCGCGACTGCTGCCGTACGCTTTCCGCTTCTCTCTTCTCGCTGCAAACTGAAACTCAGCGTTCCCGATACTGACCTTTCGCATCTTCAATGCAACTCTTGCGATCATGCATCACACAGAGCGACTTTTTTCAACATTTAACCCTTGCAGGGACTTGCCATAATCGTTAAACGTGTCCTTGACTTGGAACATTCTGCTTTGTACTAACTTATCTCATTTTACTCCGGAGAGCATATTGAGTGGCACTCCGCTATTCCACTGTATTCCCTATACAATTATCTAGTAAAAAAGACAGTCGATCTTCAACCGGACTCGACGAGCAAAGATTTCGACGGTCAGAAGTCGACGATCAATACTCGACGACTGGAGTCTTGATGGCGTAAGTCGCTGTGGTCGACTTATAGAATATCACAATAATGATATTCCCTACACCACAACACCCTCTAGACAAGGATATAGGAAATCAAGAACACACTTTACTTCCGGACGCATGCCAGACGCGTTTCGGCCCACTGCCGCTGGCCTCTTCAAAGGCTTACCGATAGCAAAGTGATCTTACTCCGTCCAGCGGCCTCTGCCGCTGCCGCTCTCATGCAATATGAGGGTCAAGAGCGCGTCGTGAGTTTCCAATCACGACCAATGAATTATGCAGAGAAGAGTCCTCAACTCGTGGACATCGTCCAAAAATCCTTCTTTTCCTGTCGTGAAGCTAAGAAGTACGATACCGCCTAACAAAGTGGTGCGAACACACGAGACCATGTAAATTCCATGTCGGAACAATCGAACAGAATCATCCCTCGCGCTGTCGACACTTTTTCGCGTATATTAAAATATCAAAGTTTGTATGCTCTTCGTGCCAAATTAATCGACTTAAACAGGGTATAACAGAATCAGCGACATAATCATCTCGATTGCAAAAAGCGCAATCTCCCTCCCCCTCCCCACAGTCGAACAACACCCAAAGACCACAGAGAAATTTTTCACTTGATCTAACTATGTCCGGAGCCATTGGTCTGAGCCAACAGGGCGTTGAGCTTGAGAGTATCATGCGCAGTATTGAAAATGTGGAACGTAAGACCAAGATCTTTTGTACGTTAGGCCCTGCGTGTTGGTCACAAGAAGGTATTGGAGAGCTCATTGACGCTGGAATGAACGTCGCGCGATTCAATTTCTCCCATGGTGATCACGTTAGTCACGCTGCTACATTGAACCGTTTACGTGGTGCATTGGCTAGTCGTCCACACAAGAATGTTGCTGTCATGTTGGACACGAAAGGGCCTGAGATTCGGACGGGGTTTTTAGCTAATAAGGACAAGATAACAATCCAAAAGGACGCGATCCTTGAGCTTACGACGGACTATGAGTTTCTCGGAGATGAGACCAAGATTGCGTGCTCGTATCCAGAGCTTCCACAGTCTGTTCAAGTCGGTGGTTTAGTCTTGGTGGCTGATGGCTCACTCGTACTTACTGTACTGGAGATTAAGGACGATAGTATCATCACCCGTGTCAATAACACTGCTACGCTTGGGGAGCGGAAGAATATGAACCTTCCTGGCTGCAAGGTGATGCTCCCGACATTGACGGAGAAGGATGAGGACGACCTTATTAACTTTGGCCTCATGCACAGCGTTGACTACATCGCTGCGTCATTCGTACGCACGGGTCAGGACATTGACAATATTCGCAAGGTACTTGGTCCCCGCGGCCGTGGCATCAAGATTATTGCCAAGATTGAGAGTCAAGAAGGACTTGAAAACTTTGATGAGATTCTGGCCAAGACAGATGGCATCATGGTAGCCCGTGGTGATCTGGGTATGGAAATTCCGCCTGAAAAGGTGTTCTTGGCCCAGAAAATGATGATTCGTAAGGCAAATATCGCCGGAAAACCAGTCGTGACTGCTACGCAAATGCTGGAGTCAATGATCAAGGCCCCTCGACCAACTCGAGCCGAGTGTACGGATGTTGCTAACGCTGTGCTTGACGGCACCGATGCTGTGATGCTTTCGGGTGAGACTGCTAATGGTGATTACGCCACGGAGGCTGTGACGATGATGTCCAAGATTTGCGTGCAAGCGGAGGGTGCCATCCACTACGATGATGTGTATCAATCACTTCGCAACGCTGTCTTGGACACGTACGGCCCTATGCCCACGCAGGAGGCAATTGCGTCGTCAGCTGTGAAAACGGCTATTGACATTAAAGCGAAGATGATCGTGGTGCTGACGGAGTCTGGTAATACCGCGCGTTTGGTGTCCAAGTTCCGTCCATCGATGCCAGTGCTGGTGCTGACAGCCATGTCAGGTAGCGCTCGCCAGGCCGAGGGCTTTTACAAGGGCGTGAGGGCTCGCTGCATGGGCTCGATGATTGGCACGGACTCGATTCTGTACCGCGCGACGGACCTGGGGAAGCAGTACGGATGGGTAAAATCCGGCGACAATGTTGTCGCTCTTCACGGAATGGTGGAAGCTCGCTCGGGCTCGACCAACATGCTCAAGGTGCTTACTGTAGAATAAGCGACGAACTTGACTGGCTGCTGGACTGGCTGCTGGATGTCTCTCGTGAGTGAACATCGCCGTCGCATCTACAGCAATGAGTCACAAAAAATGTTTGTCAGCATAATGCCAAGCGCGACGCTGCTGACGACAGCGTCAAACGGTAGCCAGCCATATGCTGCCATTGAAAGGGTGGAATGTACGTTCTTTTCAACTTAATGGTGTCCATGGACATGTTGTGCTTGAGACCTCCTCTTTTGTTGTCGCTTCCAATCGTCATCCAAAATATCTCCCACTCCATGCTAAAATATCTCCCAATACCTTTATCTCAATAGACTTGATTTTTCTATAAAGAAATGGTGGACAAGTATAGTGGACGACAAGCGCCATGAAACTTGCATATCGAATACGTCTCTAACTATCCGTTACATTTAACCTTGAAACTGTAAGTGGATGTAGTCAAAAGATTGCACCATAAAGCCACAGCACATGAAAATCCCACGTGTCGTTCTCACTTATTTCCGAGCACCGTTTTGTTCAGGAAGAGCAAACACGCGAGCGACCTCAAGAAAAGTCTCTGCTAAAGTTTTCAGTCACTTAAACGTCTTGTCCAAGCGTCAGTCGTCAAGTACGTCTTCTATTATAATAAACTATTGTATTTTCTCTATTGTTCAATATCTTACGGTCTTTCATATGTCATTTGATCAGGTTTTAACAAGAACTTTAAAAGATGTTACAGCGACTCCGTCATGCTGTCGGTTGGGGACTTCCTACGCCTCCAACGGGTACAAGAGTAGACTTTCAAGTGTGTGCACCACTTGGACATGGACAAACACTGTGGCTCGTGGGAGATTTGCCGACTCTAGGTGGTTCTGTAGACGTGGTACCAAACACGGGCGGAACTGGGACTGAAGGTGGTCTTCAATTGGTCACGACACCCAATTTGTACCCAATTTGGTACAATTTAGAGCCTGTACTAGCACCTGCTGGTTCGGTCGTACGCTACCGCTACGCTGTGTGCTCAGGAAGCCGCTTTCTGCGGTATGAAGGCTCGACGGAGTCAGGACCTATTACGCGAGAGCTCACGGTCGGTGTAGGCTACATACAGAGGCAGGACACGCTGGATGCTTGGCCTGGACATGGATCCTTGCTATGTAGTGATGACGAGACAGGGACAGCTATTATGGTGACAGATGCAGCAGCAGCAAAGACAGGCCAGACTGATGAACCCAGTGGTGACGAAAAGCCTTCATCTCCTGCTTTCTGGGGCATCATCCCGCGACTTAGTTCAGGCCAGGCGTTTGTGGACCGACGTGCGAGTGTAAGTGAAAATGGAGGTGGCACGATGCAACATCGTGGCAACAGTCGACAGCCAGTAGGATCCAGCAGACTATTGCCAGAGGTTGTTGTCGAAAAGAACGAAGAGAAAGTTAGCTCAACGTTGAAGGTATGTGGATCAGCACGATTACGAGGTGGAGAAGACGTGTCCAGTCCTGTTGCTAAGCTGCGTGCGGTCTCGGAAGACACGTCAAGATTAAATTTAGCTTCCTCATCTCCGAAAGCAACAGGTGCGAACGTGGCGATGGAAGCGACGGATGGGGTTATCATTGCCGTCCACAGACTGCCAGTTCTTGTGCATAGAACTGTAGAAGGCCATTACCACATTGAGTGGGAAGATGACAACCTTATTTGCCCATCCGGACTACTGAAAGACTCGTATTGTGAAGCGAATTGGGACCGTGTCAGTTCGATGAGACTCACATGGGTAGGAACTGTCCATTGCGCAGAGCCTATTCCGAAGGAAGACGAAGAACGACTGACCAAACAGCTAGAGGACTTCCATTGCGTCCCTGTATTCCTGGCCGAGCCGCTGAACTCGACATTTCACAACTTTTGCTATGGTACCCTCTGGCCTGTGTTTCACAATATCGTAGATGTATACGGTGCGTTGCCTACACGTTGGTGGAATCCTAGTCAGCAACGCAACGCCTGGGCCAGCTACAAGACAGTCAACCGTATTTTTGTGAACAAGGTCATTGAGGTGTATAACGAAGGCGATCTGGTGTGGGTTCATGGGCTTCATTTGCTGGTCGCACCAAGTTTCTTGACGCGACGGCTGCCCTGCGTCAATGTCGGTATCTTTTTGCATACGCCATTCCCGAGTTCGGAGATCTTCCGAACACTTTCAGTGCGTGCAGACCTGCTACGTGGTGTGCTAGCTGCGGATCACATTGGTTTCCACTTGTACGAACATGCGCGCCATTTCCTGACAAGCTGTCGTCGCATCCTGGGGCTCAAGTACAGTGCACAACCTGGCGGTTATATTGGAGTTGAGTACAATGGCCGCATGGTCATGCTAACCATAAGCCATATTGGTATCGAGCCCTCGTTCATGGACCGGATTAGCTGTAGCGATCAGGTCGAACAGGAAGCAACAGTACTCGCGGAGAAATACGAGAGTAGTAAGCGTACGGTGTTTGTGAGCGTGGACCGTGTGGAGAGGTTGAAAGGCATCTTACTCAAGCTTGGTGCCATTGAGTTTTTCTTAGCTCAGTATCCGCAGTACGTGGACAAGGTGCAGTTTGTGCAGATTGGTATCTGGGACAGTTCCAATCCGACCCCGGAGAAGGACAGTGTTCGTGCTGAAATCTTGGCACATACGAAGCGTATTAACGACCGTTTTGGTGTGCAGCACAAAGAACCAATTTTTGCATACTCGGAGGTGGAAAACACTGACATGGCATCTAGACTACCGCTTTGGCGTGTAGGTCATGTGCTGCTCACCACCTCAGTACGGGACGCCGTCAATCTTTACCCGTTCGAGTTTATCTACGCGCATGAGTTGGCCAAGTCGCCTGGCATAGCGATCGTATCTGAGTTCTCAGGCAGCAGTCGTGTGCTCACGGGTAGCATTGGAGTGAATCCGTGGAAGCGGGAGGAGATTATTCAGGCTATGGAATTGGCATTGACTATGTCAGACGAGGAGCGGGCTGCGCGCCACCAGAAAGATGTGGAGTATATAATTACGAATTCGCGAACTAAATGGGCTGAGCGTATACTCGTTGATTTAAAACGCACGAAGAAGCAGACTGCGGAGGGTGAGTACATAGGATACGGCCTCGGACTGGGTTTTCGAATGCTTGAGTTTAACGCCGGTTTTAAGATGTTGGAAACTGACGTCTTGGCCAAGGCTTATCGGGAGACATTTCGCCGCGTGATTTTCTTCGACTACGGTAACACGCTTACACTAGAGGAGCCTGCTGACGCGCACAACTTTTCGAAGTATATCACGGGCAACGAGCAAAACGCTTTCTTGTCGAAAGCAGAAACTCCGAAGGCATCGTCTGACCTCCTTGCGTCTTTGACTCTGTTGTGTGCTGACCCTCGTAACACAGTGTTTGTGCTGAGTGGCAAGGAACGCTTGGATTTAGAGAAGACATTAGGGTCGGTGCGTGGTTTGGGGCTCGCCGCTGAGCATGGCTACCTCTACAAGTGGGGAACAGGCATGAATACTTCAAGCAGTCTGACACCGCCATCAGCTAAAAACAGCTTGAATAGTATGGGGAGTGAAGGGGAAGAAGGCGTGTGGCTATGCACGAAGGACAACTTTGATGACTCGTGGAAGGATGTGACGCACGCTGTCATGGATATTTATACGCAACGCACGCACGGCACATATATTGAGCTAAAGGGCAGTGCGCTGCTGTGGCAGTACCGTGATGCCGACCCCGAGTTCGGGCAGCTGCAAGCGAAGGAGTTGCATGATCAGCTTCTGCAGGTGTTGGAACACTTCCACGTGGAGGTGGTAACGGGTACAGACTACCTTGAAGTGCGTCCGGAGGGTGTCGACAAGGGTGTGATCGTGGATCGTGTCATGTCGACAATTGAGTCTACTAGTGGCCAGTATGCGGATTTCATTTTGTGTGTGGGCGACGACTTGTCGGATGAGTTCATGTTCCAGTACCTTGAGGACTTGCGGAGCCGACCGAATATGTTCACTGTGACTGTAGGCAAAAAGCCTAGTGCAGCCAAATATTTTGTGGACGATGTGGACCAAGTCATGGAAATTGTGCATGCAATGACCAAAGTATCTACAGCCGCCAAGCGTAACTTCTCCATGAACGACTTGCGAATTTTTGATCGCAATGTTACCACGAGGTAAATGCGTGTCTTTGATTGGCATGTTTCCTTGTATACTCTCTCTGACTGACGTGACGTTTCTTGTGTATAGCGGAGGACTTCCATCGTTTCAACGAAATGAGGCAGGGTCAAACCGGTCGTCGGATAATTTGAGCTATGTAAGCGACGACAGCTTCGAAGGCATGAAGTCGTCTCCGTGTGAGAGTTTAGCAGAGCGCGGTAGGGCGCTTACATCAGAAGGAAACTTCCAGTTGAGCAAAGCGAATTCTTTGGTAGGTCGTGGCATTGCTGGTAGAAGTTCGGGCGGCATGGGAGGAGTGCGCAACTCGATGTCCATGAGTTCGTTGTCGTCGACCGGGATGCCCTCGCTGCATCCCACGTCGTCCACCTACGAGCAGTACCTCAGCAACGTTGACGAGACAGCAGAAGAAGAGGAAGGCGGCATTTTCTTCTAAAGTTGATTTAGTAGTGTCTAGTTGGACAATTCATCAGAGCGATAGTTAAGTCAGGCATGGCGATAACGAGAAGCAGTCGCCGTCATGGAAAGCCACGCATGCTTTAACTTACCAGCCTTTTATGCAGACTGTGGTCCACAGGTACAGCAGTTACTGGGCGGGTCACGGCGTGAAAAGCAGAGCAAACGCGGGAGTGAGAGCGGGCAATACAATGGATCTTTTAAGCTTGCAAGACAAGCATCAAGTTGCCGCTACTAATTGAGGTATTTCTCTTGAACGTCAGGTGCGCTCTGGTCTCCAAAGGCGTAGTCCTTGACGACAGCCGTTTGAAAGTCCACGCCGGTAAACACAAAGCCGTTTGCTTTGTCGACCGCCGCAACAAGTTTCTGTAGTGTAGCGGCATCTTGGATCTGTATTGGCAAGAAACTCACTAGACTGAAGTCTTCGATCACATCAACCAGAGCTTCGTTCATACGTCGGAACCGCTCAGCAAGTCGCGAGTTGCAAATCGTTGTATGCCGCGGCTCTAACGAGATCTGGTCTTCATCTTCAGCCTCGTCCGGCTCATCGAGACGATCCAGCAGGTACCGCAAGTCCAAGACGTCCGTGTAGAAGTCCAAGTTAAATGCTTCAAAAGAAGTTTCAAGTCAAGTCAGTTCAAGGATCACAGCACTCTCAACGGACACGGCAAACGTACCAAGTTTACCGTACTGTTGAATGAGATCGATCTTGGAGAGTACGTTAATATGCGGTAGTCCGAGACGAACCATTGACGACAAGCTCAGCATAACCACCGATACAAATTTAAAACTGTCGGTACAGTGATGAGCATCTACAAGATGCACCACTGCAAGCTGCAGGAAGAAAAAAAAATAGAGTCACAAAAACTCATTCCATCCCTTCTCTCTCTTCTTTACTACACATTGTACAAAAGGGACCGACCACCTACCCGATAGCCAAGTTTCTCCAGTTTATGAAGAATATGATGCACACTGTTTTCATGTGTATAGAGCTCAACTTGACCTGGAAAATCAAAGAGTATGTACTTGTCCTTGAGCTTTCCAAGTTTTTCTTCCAACCAGTCAAAGTTCATGTCGATATAATCCATACAATACACGAGTCCTGCAGTTCAAAAGTCCATTTGTAAAATGCATAATGAGATACTGTAATTATCACTTGTTTTTTGTATTGAAAGTTGGTGGCAAACGACTGACCGCCATTTGGGCCCAGGTCCAATGCCTCCATAACATTTTCAAGACAAATTATCTCGGACACGTCAACGTCTGCTACAAATGGCAATTGCTCATTCGCTGGATCCATGTTTACAATAGCCACGTCTCGATGATTTGCCTGTAGAAACTGTTGCATCCCATTACAATAGGTCGTTTTTCCCGAGCCAGGAGGTCCGAGCACGATCTGGGCAAAAGGCATTTTTGACAAATTGATAGGCCCAACTAAAAATAAGCGACTCTTTTGCGTATTTTTATGAGAATGGTAGCTAAGTTTTAAGAAAGTAGAACCTAAATGTTACTTCTCGCTCTCTCAACAATTAATGACAAAGGACTTGGCAATAGAGAGTTCCTAAGCGCCATTCATCGTGCAAGCGACGCCGATCATCACCTTCCATACCAAATTCTGTATGAATCCGTGTCTTTCTCTCCTTTAAACGACGGTTTAAACCCTCTTAGACAGCGAGTGCAAAGCCAAGACGCGGCTTGCGCGAGTCAGTGCCCCAGTCGAAGACAGTGTAGTGCTTGCGCATGAAGACGTCACCCAAGATCCACAATGGTCCAGTAGGGGCCGGAATGTCAATACCCATGAAGGCAAAGAGACAGATGGGACCGGCTTTCAAAGTGTACTCGTCCTTAGTCAGCGTGTAGGACTTGCCATTGAGCACAAAGGAAATATCGGGTGCCGCCGCTGAACAGCTGATAAGGTATTCACCCATAATGAACTTGTGTGCTCCTACTAGGGCCGCCAATTTTGCCACTTGATCCTTGGGGCCTGCAATAAGTGACGTCCCAGAGTCCACGATAGCTCGATCAACACTTGTCAACTTTTCTCCTTTTGCTTCCACTGCATCTAGCTTAACCGACCAGTAGGTAACACTAGTCACATCAACATATTCCAGTTCTCCCTTGTAATGGGACTTGTCGACTCCTCCAAATGTCAACTCGCCGTCTTTCCGGTCACCGAGGTAAAAGGCAAATACAGGTTCATCCAATAGGCCATTTTGAATCATCCGATGGAACGGTGTCTTCAAGTGATCAACACTGATAGCGTCAAAGGCAAGACCAAATAGACCATCAAATTTGCCTAGATAATAGGCTGGACCTAAGCCCTTCGTGACATTCACCTCGGCAAAGAATTGATCAGTCACGGTGAGTCCACCCAATTGCAGTGAGTCTTGAGACAGGAAACCGGACACGGGTCCACTACCGTACATGATGCTGAATTCTGTACCATTGGACTTGTACGTACTGGACTTGTCATGGTCGTACACATGATGAGATCCGAACTTCCTGTTCGGGACCCACAAGTTACTTGACCCCGTATCAAAGATGACAGAAAAGAGCTGAGGGGGTGATCCGATTGAGATTGAGCCATAGTACTGCGCGTTCTGGAAGTCACGGATAATGACGTCAGCAGCGCCTTGTACAGAGATTTGCGGTCGAAAGTCCACGAAAGGATTCCAGATACCTGGAGATTGTAGAGCATGTACATTACGCAAGAGAGATGACACAAACTCGTTGTCATTGCGCTTTTTCATTGGTACACGCAGTACAATCGCATTGGAGAGATTGAGAATCACTAGCAGTGCTGAGCATAGTAACGACAAGCGTAACATTGGGAGAGATTTGGAAGAGGAGCTTTTTAGGATCTGATGGGTTTCGTAGGATTCTGATACAGAAGGTAGATGCCCCCGGTCCCAAGTGTATCACTATAGGCAGAATACCGAGTCTGAGAGACCAATTTCAAAGGCACATACGAATCTAGAAGAATTTCCCGCGGGACATGAAGATCAAGTATGCAAGATGTGGTCGGACCGTGGTAAAAATTGTGAGTGAGTGCTTTAATTTGATGGAGAATGTGGAAGATTAGTTTGCAGTGTTGTCGATGTGAAGAATACACGATTGTCGTAGAACAGTAGTGTGAAACATAGGGACATCTTCCTTCTGAACGCCCATTAACTTGGACAACCGTGCAAGACGCTTCTTATCGAGTGCTTTCGTAAATAAATCGGCAGGATTGTCGACTCCAGCAACTTTTTCCAGAATCACCTTCTTTAATTTGACCTGCTCACGAACAAAGTGCCAGCGTAACTCGATATGTCTCGTACGACGGGAAAAAGTTGGATTTGTCGCCATCACGTATGCACTCTGACTGTCAATTCCAATGTGCATCTCAACAGGAATAGTTGGTAATATTTCACTTACAATGTTTCGCTCTCCAATCGCTTCCATTGTAGCTTCGCATGCTGCCACATACTCAGCCTCGGCCGTTGACAAGGCTATGATCGGCTGTCGCTTTGACGACCATGATATTGCACCACCTGCAAGTAAGAAAACAAAACCTACAGTACTCTTTCGGTCTGCAGCATCTGAAGCCCAGTCACTATCACAGTAACCTTGAATTACAATCTTTTGATGCTGAGTCGTTTGCGCACGCTTGTACACTTTGCCATAATCAAGTGTTCCAGCGAGATATCGAAGGACACGTTTCACACAACCAACGTGATGTTTAGTCGGATTGGCCACAAATCGACTTAGCTGACCCACTGCATATGCCAAGTCGGGTCGCGAACATGTTGTCAAATACATTAACATTCCCACCGCACCACGATAATCAAACGTCTTATCGATGTCATCCTTTTCTTCTGCACACATTAGGTTTTGCTTTGTCTCAAGCGGGTTTCCAACTGCATGTGCTTGTTCAAAGTGAAACTTCTGTAGAATCTCACGTGAGTACTTTCTTGACTTATCTTAATGGCATCTTGACTCGATTGCACTTCGACACCAAGATACTCCGTGAGCTCACCTTGATCTTTGATACCATACTGCAATTCCAGCTTTCCAAATAAGTCAACCTTGACTGCTTCGTTGTTTGTTGCGCATAAAATGTCGTCAACGTACACCAGCACCAGCACTATCGTTCCATCCGTGTCCTGACGATAGTATAGACACGGTTCCGTTAAGCATCTTTGATACTCATTTTCCATCATCCAATTGTGTAACTCATCATTCCACTCACGTCCAGCTTGACGTAAGCCATACAATGCCTTGCGCACCACATACATGTGTTCCTTACGTCTGCATGGAATTCCGTCAATCGAGATGGATATCTCGAGAGAGGCGTGTTGGAATAAGTTGAAGAACAGTGGAAGTTGCTGGCAGTTGGCAGTGGATGGCAAGGCATGTGAATGGCAGTTGGTGTGCTTCATGGTTGAAGGTATGAGAGGGGAGTCGTGCTGACGCAGAGTCCCAGGTTGTACTTGCCAACTGGCATAGGCCACGAAGAGATGTATGTTAGGACAGTAGGGCTTGTGTTGTATGGTAAAAATGAACGACAGTTCCGAAATTGTATCGTGTGACACAAGTGTACATTATCTAAAGTTGCATTTAAATACGCAGTGTTAATATCACCACCGTACACCTTGAGGTTCAATTCTGCCGCTAATGCAAGCGTCATCCTGAAACTTGACATACGTGCTACAGGAGAGAAAGTCTCACCAAAGTCAATAACAGGCCGCTGCCAATATCCCAAAGCAACCAAGCGTGCCTTAAAACGGATTACATATCCGTATTGATCCGTTTTAAGTTGCCCACACCCACATGGTTTTAATCGCTTTGGCTTCTGGTGGTATGTCAGCCGTAGGAATTTCTTCCAGTACATTCTTAAGCTGCATTGCATCCATTTCTTCACGCTGAGCTTCGTGCCAAAAATCTGCATATTTTGACCGTCCAGCGTCTCTGGTGCTCCGTGGCATTCTGACGTCACTCGCACGAATAAACTGGCCAAGTTTGTCCAGCACTCTTGCGTGTGTGGTCAAAGCAACAAAATCTTTGTACCTATTCGGCTTGTGTCGCTTCGCCGCCTCTCTCAGACTTGCACGTCGTCGACACATCGCTGTATTATCATCATTCATATGTGATGAGACATCACCGTTTGATGGTACATCACTATGCCGCTGCCTCTTTCTTGTTTCACTTTCCTCACTAGCGATCTGCTCACCCGATTTCTTGTTCGACAAGTCTTGCAACGTGTCTTCGACACTAACGTCTGCTTCAAACGTTGAAACACTGACATAACTTGGTGTCGTAATAGATTCCAAATCATCACTCCTGGTATCTAAAAAATCCTGGCCATCAACATCAGTATAGGAGTCACCACTAACATCATCATCGTCGTGATACGCACTATCCATGTCATCACGACGGATGTCTCGGGCAGAACCACCGTAGTCACCGTCGACAATGCTATCAACATCGTAGTCACCGTCGTCACCGTCGACTATCCCATCCGCCGCCTCGGTGCCAAGAATATCATAAGTGGCATCGCCCGTGACGGATGCGTCGACACCGGTCGCCTCGTTATCTGCAAAAACTGGAGAGAAAGTACCATTAGCAACAGACGCCGGGGCAGAGCGAGTGTCGCCGTCGTGGGGAGAAAAACGAAGTCGATCCAGGAGAGGCACATAGGTGGTGCACTGATGGCGATCACGGTAGACAATAGACTCATCAATGGCTACGCCTGCAGCCCACTTGCGAGTGGGAAATAGATTTTGTACCCCACCTGGTCGTCCCAAAGCCCCAGTACAAATCCGATTGTCGCATTGTCCTTGTGTCGTGGACGATCTGGACCCTTTGGCACGTGAACATACGCGAGTGTCCCAAACACACGAATATGATGAAGATCTGGTTTGACACCAAACATGCGTTCGTGCGGTGTGCAGTTCGCCGCCTTGTTGTAAACGCGATTTTTGAGGTATACAGCATATTCAAAGGCATCTGGCCATAACTGGGGTGAAAAACCAGAGTCTCGAAGCATCGTCTTCGTCATGTCACTTAGCGACTGGTGTTGTCTCCACGGGATTCATGTGAGAACTTTTTGGTCCAACCTGCACATGCTGAATTCCTCGTGCGTTATACCATGCATCGATATCGTGGTTTACAAACTCACCACCTTTGTCCGTAAGAATAATCTTCACCGGTAACGCGCGATGTCCTTCATGATATGCCAACTACGATGCACAATCTTCTTGATGCTTCGTCCAGCTTGCCGCTCGGCCCAATTGACGTAGTTTTTCATCAATTCATTCACCGTTTCTGCGTCCTTCTTTGCCAGAAGATGTGCTGTCAAGTACCGTCCATAATAACGAGAATTGCCGTATACTTGGTGCCATTATTTCTCGATGGAAAAAAAGATCAGCATACACAACTTGATTGAGACCTGTGATATCGTGCTCTTTCTTCTTGTTTCGACGTTGGCGCCGCTGTTTACCAACATGACATGCGTCACACGGAGATGATTTCCGCCCCGTCAGAATCATACCATGGACAAAGCCTTGATCTACCATGGTCTTCAAATACTGTTCACAGATGTGTCCAAGACGCTGATGCCAAAGATTCATAGTAGCCAGTCCTTCTGCCGCTGAATACTTTGCTTCTGCCTGAGGTAACGTTCCAACAACAAAAGAATCAACGACTGGATTTTCCGCATATTCTGTGTGATGCGATTCCAATTTTCGTGGATTCAGAGGTAGCATCGAGTTCAGCACTCGATATGATGAGAATCCCCACGTTCCATCATGATGTTCGGCTCGGATAAGCGGTTGGTCACGATAGTAGACCATAAAATCCGTGCTTGAAGTAGCCATGTCAACTTTGAATCCTTGTTCGACTGCCCTACCTGAAGAGAAAAGTCCGTGTTCCGCATCTGGAACATGCAACACGTGGTCCAGGAGAAAACATTTCTCTATCCCATCAACTTTTGTAACCATTTTAATGGTACCCATTCCAGTCACTTTTGCATGAAGGGCTGTTGATATACCGGAGAGGCTAACCTCCGACTTAGATGAAACTGGATTGTACTCAACAAAATCTTCTCGATTTGCTGACACGTGAACGTTTGCACCTGTGTCTAAACACCAGTGATGTGTGACTAGTGCCGTACTGTCAGCAATGTTAATTCTTTCTGACAACCCCTTAACCTTTTGTTTTGCAGCACCACTTCCTCGCTTGGTCATTCGCTGCGAATTAGAGATAGCTGGTATCGAAGGATCCGACAATTTTCCCGTCTTCAACCTCAATACATCTACCTCGCATGTATTTTGTTTATCTTGACCTCGCGAATTTTTCACCGCCTGCGCCTTCTTCTGCGGTTGTGTCGCAAAACATACGCGTGGCTTTTGTGATTCTCGTGCCGCTTCTTTACAATCACGTTTGAAATGTCCTGTCTTGCCGCAGTTGTAACAAGACCTGGTGTCCTTCCTCTCTCCCCGTCCAATCGTATTCTTTCTCGCTTTGTCCACTTTTCTTGACCCTGCATATTCTCCTTGTAGATACCCTCCATGTGAAAATCCCTTAGTTGACTTTCGAATTTGATACCTTGAGCTTGCTGCACGAATCTGCTCCTCCAACTCGTCCATATCTTTAGCTGGTGAATTTCCACACCAGTTCTGCGTTTGGATCAGTCCAAATTCTGGTACCGTGCTGGGTAGACTCTGTAGTGTATACATCATCATTGTCGTAAACGAGAGCTTGCTTCCATAATCCGCCAGTTCAAGCTCCTTGTTTTTCATCTGACGCAAATGATCCTCGATATCAATGTCAGTATTATATCGCATTCGGCCAGCTCTTCTTCAAGACGTTGCACAGCGTGAAAAGTCGCAACTGTATTTGCTCGATTTTCAAACCGCTTGCAAAGTGTTGCAAACAGTGCACTTCCTGTCTTCTCCGTCCTATAGAGTTCCGCCAGCTCTGGCGAAAGTGACATCATAATCTCCCGTCGAAGTCTTCTTTCAAGCTTTTGTAGCTTGGCCTTGCCTTCATCAGTTGAGAGATACTTCCGGCCGATATGACCGCATGCAACATCCCAAAGTTCTTGGTCGATGTCTTGTAGCGCCATCATCGCCATTTCCTTGTAGGTATGCCAGTACTGACCTTTAAAGTTACGTGGCATGTCATCCTTTGAATACATCTTCACACCTTGTCCGCTATCCTGAGGAACCATAGTTGGGCTCATAACCCTTTATAATGTACACTTGTGTCACACGATACAATTTCGGAACTGTCGTTCATTTTTACCATACAACACAAGCCCTACTGTCCTAACATACATCTCTTCGTGGCCTATGCCAGTTGGCAAGTACAACCTGGGACTCTGCGTCAGCACGACTCCCCTCTCATACTTTCAACCATGAAGCACACCAACTGCCATTCACATGCCTTGCCATCCACTGCCAACTGCCAGCAACTTCCACTGTTCTTCAACTTATTCCAACAATAGGGATTCTTTCAAAGCTGTACAATGGAATGCCCGACGGCTACACTGATGCTACATGTTTTCTTGATGTAGGTGCATATGAATCTGCACCAAGTACATTCAGTTAAGACATGATGAACTTTGAAGTAGTAGAAGAGATCTATCAATATGATTTTGAACGGCTTTGTGCTTAGAGCATGAACATACTCATTCAAACAGGTGCATTCCATCGTTCATGGATAAACCATATAGTTCGCAACAAGGTGATCTTGAAGTCCTTGATTTATTAGTGTCTCAATAGTTATCACTCCCTTCATCTCGTAGATCACCAGAAAAAAACATCAGAAAGGGATTGTATCTGACAAGGACATTGATATCATAAACCTCTGCTAACAGACGCTCTAGATGTACAATTCACTAGTCTACTCGTGTGGGTGAAAGTTCTCAATGAGGCCCACGTACATGCCAGCACCAAGCATCCCGCCAACAAACGGACCAACGATTGGGATCCAGAAGTAGAAGCTTCGAGCCGTGAAAACTTTCGAGCCCCATCCAGCAAAGAAAGTAAAAAGACGAGGACCAAAGTCACGAGCTGGATTCAAAGCGTAGCCAGTGTCAAGGCCAAACGCCATACCCACGCAGGTTAACATCAGAGCTACAGCAGCCGGGAAGGTGTAGGGACTAGCGGGTTTGTTGCGATTGTCACCGACAGCGAAGATGCCGCTGACAAGGAGAGCCGTGCCTACGATTTCGTTAGCAAGACCGCACCAATTGGGGATCTGCTCGTTGGGGTATGTGGCAAAGATACCCTGAGTAGTTAAACGTTCCGGGTCTTGAACGTCAAACCATGGATAGTATACGAGAAACACTACCCCCGCGGCAGCAAAGGCACCTAGGATCTGGGCAATAAAGTAACCAGGAAGCTTGTACCACTCAAAGCGTCCAAACGCTGCCAAGGTCAGTGTTACTGCTGGATTGAGGTGACCACCACTAATACCACCCGAAAAATGGATGCCGAATAAAAGTGCAATACCCCAGGCGAGGTTTACCGACAAGTAGTGACCCGCATTGCCACCACCAAGAACATATTGGGCGACGGAACCATCTCCGATCAACACCAGAATAAAGGTGCCAATAAATTCAGCGAGGTAGGCCCGAATATCGCGGTTGCGAACGGCGTAGAAGGGAAGACGCGGGTTGCCTTCTATATCCGCATAGTCAGGCTTGAGCGATCCGTATTCGGACATTTGTGAGATAGTAGGGAATGAGGACGTGAACGGGAGAATGAAAATGCGAGAATGAGGTGCTCTTGGAAAGAGATTATTGAAGAATACTTCTATGACACAAGTGTCTCTGATGTTGATGACACTTCTGCTACCACAAGCGGCCACACATTGGTACCTCCTGCAAGAGTGTCATTCGGTCTTCGCTCAGCTGCGTCCAAGCACAAAGGATACGAAAAAAACGGCTGCACAAAACTTAGAGCAAAGCAAACCGAGAGGTCTCAGTATTGAATAGCATATCGAATGTTGACAAGATTAGCAGCCTTGGATGGTGGTGCGTGGTCCAGCTGAAAACGATACGTAGGCGATCCTTTGCGTATCAACTCTACCTTTTCAAAACGAAGATTGGTACCCCTCCCCCTCCATCAACTTTGTCCTAGTTGATTAAGACTAAAGATCTTTCTTAGCCAGATGAGGCTTCATTGCTCGGGAACATCGACCAGAGATCGGCCAAACCAGGCAAGGATCTTCTCGCATCGGCTGACATGCTGAAGCGAGAAAAGAGCAAAGAACGTATTGGGCGAAGTAAAGATTTGTCGTTTTGTACAGTCTGTCTCTCCTTCGACACAATGGCGATGCTTCCCGAATCTCCCGTGTCACAATTGCATGTGCATGTTGAAGCCAGGTCACACTTGATCGGTTGTCTGAATCATGGCTGTCAGTCCAGTAATGCACACCACGTAGATGTTCGTTGCAAATGGGATTAGACAATTGTTTGAACAAGAGGCATAGCTAAGACGGGTGAGTGTCCATTTGAATCTGCCAGCTAGGAATACTGTCTAAACCTAGAAAATATCCATGCACAACGTTTTACAGTTAAGTCCTCTTACTGCAGATGTGCCTTTTCTCCAACTCATGTGCAATCCGTTCGTGGTTCCAATCGAATCGACGAGAGAATGAGTTATCCAAGGGCAGCTGCTGGTGCCTTACGTACTTTTTTGGAGGGCTGAGGATTTGCATCCCTCGCTGGACTTCTAAGGTTCGAAACCTTCCACTCAATCTGCTCAAGCGGAATGCCTAGATGATTATCAAACTCAGTCATTGCGTCATTTTCCTTCCACGGCACTAGTCTTTTCTTCAACTACATCCTCTTCACTTCAGACCCAGCATGACTGAGTACGGCACCGGCAAGCAGGGATACGCTAACCTGGAGAGCAACGCCAGTCTTCCATTCTACCACGTTCGCAATCCAGACTTCCGAGCCTACCTCGCTGAATTCGTTGGTACCTTTATCCTGGTGCTCATCGGGGATGGCTCTGTTGCGCAGTACGTGCTCGGCAGTGGGGGTGCCGGTCACTACCTATCGGTGAACTTGTGTTGGGGTATTGCATTGCTCTTTGGCATTCATTTCTCCGGAGGTGTTAGCGGTGGTCACTTGAACCCCGCGGTTACCTTCACACTGGCCATGTTCAAGCGTTTCGAGTGGCACAAGGTGCCCGGCTACTTCCTTGCCCAGACGGCTGGTGCCTTTATGGCCGCCTTCATCGTCTTCATCGTGTACTACCCGTGGTTCGACATCCACGACCCAGAACGTGAGACCACTCAAGGCATTTTTGCTACCTACCCCAACGCCCAAATCCCCAACTGGTCGGCTTTGGCTAATGAGATCATTGGCACTGCTTTGCTAGTTAGCGGTATCTTCGCAGTCAGTGACCAGCTCAACAAACCCGCTAGCCCCTATACTTTTCCGGGTGCCGTTGCATTGATGCTTACATGCATTGGCATGGCATTCGGTCTTGACACTGGCTACGCTTTAAATCCGGCCCGTGACTTTGGTCCTCGTTTGTTTACGTTCTTTGCTGGTTGGGGCTGGAAGGTCTGGACTCTTCGTGACAGCTACTTCTGGATCCCTATTGTTGGTCCGTTTATCGGTGGCATCATTGGTGCTGCTACGTATGTTGGTTTTGTCGAGGCCCACCATACACCTCAGTGAACCGTAACAGTCCTTACAAACGACAAGTAGCGAAGATTTTGATCTTCGGGCTTGCTTTGTTTGTTGTCAAATACACTGTTCCTGTATGCTTTCGATGCCGTTGGCTTTGCTCTCTTTCGTTCACTAGCCTCACCAATGTACATGTAGTTGCTGTTAGGTGAAGATCGCTTTGGGTCTAGCGTTTAGCCACCAACTTAGGAGTGCTCTGTGTTAATTTTGAATAATACTAAGTCACCTTGCTGAAGATGTAGCTCTTCGATCTGTATCAGGCCACGTGAGGCCACAAGTATCTCAAAATGGGTCGGCAAATGCTCAACTTCGACTCGCCGGTTCAGCGTGTGTCTTCTCTTGTTGATCTGTCCGCTCTTAGCGGCATCCATGACTCGCTTTCGAGTGCATCTCATACGTCTGCATCTCTTTCTTACGAGGCGATCTGGACGATGTTCTAGGCGTCTCCCGATTATTTCGGAATGATGGATGAAGAGGAATACCACGGTGAGTTGTTAGAACTCGCAGCAGATCTTGGTCGTCGTTTGGATTTGATCGGGAGTACCATTGATGTGAGGTCCCGGCAAGTCGATGCACGCCCATGGGAGAGTTGGAGCGGGACTGGACTCGTTCTACGAGTATTTGCAGAGATACCACCTGATGTCCAGTGGATGATCATGTTTACTGCCAGCTATCACGCTATTGAAACGCATGTGAATCACGACAATGTGTACATTGAGGTAGATATGATGGAGGCAAGAACAAGGCGCGTGCTCGTCGTGTATCGGCACTGCAGGCGTTTTGGCCCGGTCTACAGGTGCTTGTCGGTGATGTGTCGGGCGCTATTCGCACTCACAAGCACAGGTTTCAACTCTGGGATGACTTTGGAGCCATGCCTGAGTTATTAGATCTGGCCCCGCGTGGCAAATCGAAACCTGGCAACCGAGGAACTGTTATTAGCTGGACACGAACGTCCAGAGCTGATTGAGAGCACTTATCATCTGTATCAGGCCACAGATGAAAGACGAGATTCATGCGCTTGGGTCTTTCGGCAGTTGTAGAAATTGCACCACAAAGGTGAGCGCTATCTTTGACGAGCCATCCGACGTTAAAAGAAGCAGAAAGCCACTCAAATCATCAGACGTAGTTTCCAGCATCGAAGGCCATATCTTGATGCTGCATTCGCACCTCTTCACAAAGAAGCAGGAAACAATGTCTGCCTCACTGAAGTGCGAAAATTGAAAACTTCAGGGGCACATGCGTAATGCAGAGCCAGCGGCAGCAAGGGGAAGTCCTAGCAAAGCCTCCAGTGATCCCTGTTGGGTTAACCGTGCGACTCGGTGACACGCACTTGATGACACTGGTGGCGACTCCTGCCAAGTTTGGTTCACAGATCACGAGCTCAGCAGTAATTGAAGCACCATTGCTACTTCTTGCGCCAGAGCTTGGTGAAGCCTGCGGCTCCATAGACTCCAATCGTGTGCGTGACAAGATCGTGATGGTGGCACGTGCTGTTTTGCAAAAACAATATTGAGCTTGTAAAATGCAGGTGCTGCTCATCAACACGAAGGCCGCTTACAGTAGATATCCCAACCGAAAAATACGCACTGGTTCATGATGCTCGTCGTCTTGGTCGGAGCTGATTAAGAGCACTTCTTTCTTGTTGCACGCGAAGATGCCATGCAGCTGCACAGGCATGCAGGTCTGAGGTGGCTAAGTAGTGACGATGACGGTACAGTCTTCTTGGCTTCGAATCCATCTAGGCACTTACCAGTGAGCCCACGATGCGGCGACAACTTGTTAATGGGCTAACGTAACGAATCTCAGAGCCATCGATGGGGAAAATAGTGGTTGCCCTTGAAATCCTAGTCGCATCTCTTCTTCTTCCTCAAAACTTGACAAGCCTCATTCAAGTGCTAATGTCGAATTGTAGCGCTTCCAATACTCGTAGTAAGAGCTGCAACATCGTACGCCGTCAACGCAAAACGCAGTCTCAACCATCCGCCACAAAATGAAACATACATTGACCAGAGAGCCATGTACGGTACTAGGCTCGAATCGGCTGTATCTTCGATCAACACACTAATAGACAACCCACAGCCGATGACGGCCGGCGCGAACAACCATATTCTGCACATGTATTTACTGAGATACTATTATCATGAGAACGAGAAGATGGGGTCAACTTACCAGGTAAAGCTCCGTAGCGTGACCGAATACGTGGCCGTCTTCATCCGTCAGAATAGCTGCCCAATCTAACGAGACGCACAGGTAATGGTTGGGCCGTAAAAGACAATAACACTAACTCAACACGAATGTCAGTAATGGTGTAAGAGGGCGACAACTCGTCGTCAAAACTCGTATCTCCAGACGCGCGTAAACGCGTTCGTCTCATCCTGTTTATCCAGGCATATACCATTATATTCACATTAGCTTTTCGCTTTATGAGACGGACGTCTGACTTGTCCGTACGGCATTTGGTCAAAACTGAAAGAGAAGCTGCATCACGAGTTTTCCATTGCTGCAAGATACCAAAGTTAGCGAAACATTTCACTCTTGTTAATCGTCCACACTGAACTTCAATATGCAAAACACACTACCTGCTTTGTCGCATCGCTTTGTGCTAGATGCACCAGGCAGATAGCAGCGCATGCTCGACAGCACGATCATGATTCTCCGAATGACCCCTCACAGCCAGAATTGCGTCTGAAACGCTATATTTCCAGTCTACGAAGTCACTGCGTATCTGCATATTCCTTTACACCATCCCCTTGTATCTGCTCTCCGTTCTCCTGGAGCCGACGCGCCATATTGTCACGGTCTCTCTGTGAAACTTGCTCGTCCTTGCCTAATAAGACCGTATCTTCCCGAATTTCCGCCGACGTGCCCTTCTTCATCTTGATATGTGCATTGGGCGAGTACACCTCCTCATTGTTAAACCACTTGCAGCTCACGTACTGCACGTGACAGTGGTTATAGTGAATCATCTTCCCTACAGTCTTGTCTTCACCATAGTCAAGTCCGTCCAACTCAATAAAGATTGGTTTCTCCAACAAGCACTTTAACAGTGCACTTCCTACAAAATAAGAGCCTCCAGTAGCAAACACGTATGAATTTGTGTTCCTAACGTCACCAATATTAACGTGCATGTCTCCGGCATAACACGACGTGAGGTCCGTGCATTTTTGCAAGCACTGATAATAGTGTGGCCAGTATATAACGGCCTCATCATCCTGCTTCAGTAGATGATTCCGTGGATCGGACGTATGTACGTGATTCATGATTGTCACTGTTTTATTCTGGAGATTCAAATAACTGTCGACCCCGGCATGACGGACGATCCGAAGACTTTTTTCAAGTGATGATGGCACCATCACATCATCATGTGCAAAGAGGATCGTATGGGGACTCGCAATAAAGCCAAGAAAGTCCCAATTGGTCTTTTTACATACAAACACAACACGTTGCGTGTGTTCCAGGAGTGAAGTAGCAACTTTCTCGACAAGTTCCTTCTCGGACGTTGATAGAATTTCAGCTGTAAATCCTAATCGTACATGACAAAAAAAGAGCAGCAGTTGAGTGTAATACCCAAGAATAAAGCCACCAATCACGAGACCGAATAGAAACGGAATGCGACAAAGCGACGGTGGACGTGGCGATAGGAATCGAAGACGTGCGACCTTTTCATGCTTTTTAAGACGTGTAGGAGGAGAGATTGATGGCTTGGCAAGGGGTTCAGGGACATTATCGGTACTAGCGTTCCGTCCACGGCGATGAGCCGTTGGTAGGAGTGATGATGGGTTGTACCATACCATGACAGGTAAGGAGTGAATGTTTTGGACTTATATGAAAAAGGAGAGGTTTCTAAAAATACGTATGATGTATATGTATTGGATTGAACGTGTTATAGAAAAAAAAGACCTTTTTTTTGCTTTAGAAATCGTGGTGGTATCACTAGTACCTAGTTGGAAGCTAAGTACAGTATGTGGCAAGTTCTAGTCGGTATATGAACACGGTATTCATTTATATGGTGGGATGGATATATGGCTGATAAGACGGGTATAGCTTACATAGGTACTTTTTCATGCCGTACTTAGTGCCGTACCGCACTTTTTAGCGTCGTTATTTTAGCAAGGATTTGAACGGTATGATTTATGCCTGCCTCAGATCTAGCGGTACCAAATACTTCATAGAATGACCAAGTCGTAACGTCTTTTTAATTGTATCGTACGTACTCTTCTCCTCTTGGCACCATATAGCTAGCTTTATTACCTAGGTGTTTATTGCCTCTTTATTTGGTGCTGTTCAGTCCAATCCGAGAACGGACGTCCTGTCGTCGAGCATCCTGTCTTGCGGCCATTGAGTCGCTCGCAGTACCGAAAGAAGATGGTGGCTGCTGTGGACTGGTACTGCTTTTTGTCTTGGACTTTTGCTCCTTTTCCTGAAGATAAGCCTCGTATTCGGCTGCCACGTCAGCTCGCTCTTCCACGCGCGTCGGGTGTCGCCTTAACATCGTTTTTTTTGAAACTGAAATTTAAACTGTACAACTTATTGTTGTAAGCGTCAGTATACGGTATACGTGCAACTCTGTATGTAGCCATTAGAAACCTTGGTCTGCAAGCACTGAGACGTGAGATTAACTCTACAATAACAGCCAATTAGCGATAAGTGATTAAATTACTGATAAAACGTTATAACACCAAATTAGTGATGAAAGAGTATCGTTGCAGAAACGTACCAAGCTTAATGGAGCTCTTAAGTAGTTACGAAAAGGATGCAGACTTTTCAATGCGCTATATTTAACATGTTTTGTATCTGTCTTTCCACCATCCTGCAACACTACGAATGCATGTAATGAAAGCATCAAGCGACCTCCAATGGCCAATCCAACTTTGCTTTCACGCTTTGACAAATCAAAAGCTAAGAGAAGTACGACGAGGTGGATAGAGTACCCAACGGTATCGGCATAAAATGGTGTGAGAGAGAGACGAGTCTATGTATCCGTTTAGGAATTGCAGCATGTCTAATAGTTCCTAAGCTTGGGTAGCAACGCCGGTGTTCGATCGAGTCCTGCCGTGACACTCTCAAGATTGTCTATCGATGCTGATCCAGCATAGCAGCAAATGTGTACCGTTACTTATGCCCCTATAGGCCACTAAAAAATACGCGGTCGACGGAACGACGACGCGTATCTCGCAAAAAAGAATTCCCGCCGAAGAAGTGCCCGTGATGAGGAGCTGAGACTTGAACTTTGACCACGTTACGACTTCATACACAGGAACCAGATAGTTTCTTAATTGATACCATGTCCTAATGGATAGATGTCATAAAGCAAGCATACGAATAATCTTGGCGCGCTTCAACTTGACTACGTCAACAGCGCTATGTCAGGGCCATCCTTCCACTTCCATCTTTTCCATATACATGTGATCTTCTAGTCTTCTGATTGCCGCAATCCGCTTACATGTTCTATGCAATATCGTCCGCCCTTGACAACATAAAATATACGCACGACAGTTGCCAACACTTTGTGCATTTCCATCGGTGACGAGGGGAATTAACCCTATCGAAACGACTTGGATAAGGTCATAAATATCGTCGTCGTCACCGCACAGAAAACGAAATGAAAGTCAGGGGCGTGTAACTTGTTACAATGGACTTGTGTTCGAAGACAACGCCCTGCTTCACGATGAAGAGATTCTTTTTTTCAATGCAAAGAAGACTCGATTATTTCGAACTTCTGTTCCAGCTCATCCTTGTACTTCAATGCTGTCCTTTACATGCAGATTACTTACACCCACAAGTTGTACTGTCAAGAGCACGCCCATTGAACACCGTTGGTAATCATGCATCTGATCGTCTTGTCTTTCTTGCATGAGCTGGTAAAATAAGCATATCATAAGCTCTCTCGCCAAGCTCATCCCAAAACGGTCTCTTGTTCCAGCTGGTGCCGGCCACATAAGAGTCATTGTCGTCAACGCGTCTGACTGTCGGGAGATAATTGGCACTGGCAATTCAACCGTCCATTTTCCAATTTACCATGGTCGACTCACTCTCGGATCGATCACACCTATCTGTATCAAGCTTCAAAAGTGACATCAAGCGTCTTACTGTCGAGCATTTACGGCTCGATTCATGGGATCGAACAACCAAGAATATCTCCTGTGACGGCTCCGAGGTTGACCAAGACCTGCAGTCCAAACCATCGCGTATACGTCTCGGAGACACTCAACTGTTACAATTGGCCCGTGAAGCAACCGACAAGACGGACTTTCACCGTCTTTCGAATCGTCAGGCATCTCTGAGCAATTGGAAGTGGAAGACAATCGCCAACGAATTCACGGCATTTTCGCACGGGGACGGACTTGAGTCGGCACAGGAGGTGCTAGCTACTGGGGAGATGAAGGCAAGTCTAAACGAGCTGTCGCACATCCTCTGCACTGCAACCGATGCTGATCACGATATGGTGATGCGAAGTGTGTACAAGGACTACATTCACGGTGCCGTCGTTCATGTGGTGGATCCGTCACTAGGGTCACCATCTGCCTCTGCAATGAAGTCAGAGATGGAATCAAAGTTGACCGTTAAGACGAGTGCCTTTGAGCGCTCGCGCATGTTCAAGAACCACGAGCAGTGGTGCTTTCTCGAGTACTATGAAAAGATGAGCAATGCCGACGCCTTCACGGTGACTCTTGCTTCGGTGCCCGGGGAGGATTTGCTGGCTGGTAAGATGAAGGCTGATCGTGTTGACGAGTTACCGGATCTGACGGCAGCATATCTCATTGAAAAGATCCCGTTAAGCAATTTAGTGCGCGTTGTGTTCTTTGCTCAGGCTGAACTCAACGAGCGACAGCCTCAGTTCGACCAGTCTGCATCATTCATGAGTCAAAGCCATGGCAGTGAAGGCAGTCACGGCAAGCAACTTGCACATTCCAAGAAGCGCCAAAAGCGTCTAATGCGCCTAGCCGAAGGTGCGAGTCAGCTTCCTGATGTTGTCCGCCGCCGCCGATTTGGCGTCCAATCGCTTGCTAACTTCCTTGCGTTTGAAGCGAAGAACACTCGATGCACTTGTTGTGCGAAGTCGCTACGCTTTCTTTCACGCAAGAAGCGCTGCCATGTGTGTGGATACATTATCTGCCATCAGTGTTGGAGCATCCACTCGATGGAGACCCGTGATGGTCGTGTGTCCTCTGTGCGTGCTTGCACACGCTGTTTCGAGTTTGTGAACAATGGAGATTATTCTCGTGTGGATCAACGTCTTCGTGGACGGGCGGAGATCCTCCCGGATGTATCTAATAACTTGCCGTCGGCTGACCCTCCTGGAAAGGCTTTGACCAACTTTTTGCATGACGCTCTTCAAAACTCTTCGGGCAACAAGCAGCAGACCATTATGTCTGTCATTCGCCACTTGATGAGTCAGGAAAAGGAGACCGATATTCGTTCATCTATGTCGTCACCTATGCGTTTAACAGACGATGACGCGAAACAATGTACTGACGCGCTGGACAATGGAATGCTGCGCGTCGAGGTACTTCCGGTAGAAAAGTGTGTGCTTGCAAATGTAAAGGGCCGCAACTATCCGCTCAATATGGCCCCTGACGCAGAAAGTTTGAGTAAACCACCTATGCCAAAGGACGAGCAGATGCGTATTGCTGCAATTGAGAAAGGAGGGTTTTCCAAGATCACGGACACGGACGAGCTTGATTGGATTTGTGAACTCGTGGCGCGCGAAATGAAGTGCTCTTTGGGTCTGGTGACGTTAATTAGCGAGGACGAGCAACACATCTTGGCAGCCAATGCGTTACCGTTCCGGCAGGTGCACATGCCACGTGATCACTCTTTTTGTCAACACACGATCATGAACGACGAACCGTTGTTGGTTCCTCATCCCGAATCGGACGTTCGGTTTCAAAATTTGCCGCCGCTTCTCGCGAACGACTTGAAATTCTATCTCGGCTTTCCACTTAAGGACGCAAACGACCAAATAGTGGGTTCAGTGTGCTGCTTTGACACTACGTCTCATGAAGTATCGGCATCTCAGTACTCGTCCATGAAGAAATTTGCCGAAACGGCTTCCAAGGTGGTGCAAATTAAAGGAAAACAGGCATTGATGTCATCGAATTCCACGACAATTGCTTCTTTATAAAGTAGCTAGCTAGACAATGCGTCTCATTCATTCAAAAGTGCTTGATCAAGCTTTCATTGTAACCGTGTTGCAGCTATTGTGTACTCATGTTGTCGTGATCGTACAATATGCATCACGAGTGAGTACAGTTTTTCCATGCTCATAAGTACACCTTTTGGTTCATAAAACATGCAGTTCCGACGTGCTCATGATTACGATCCTGTTCGATCCTGTCTCAAATAAACATTGATTCGTGTAATGCACACCACTTTGCTGCATTCTTTTCCACACGTAGCTCCTCGCCAACCAATCCTTGCATAATCCAAGCAGACGTGTATCATCAATTCCAATGGTCAAGTCCTATTTGCGCTATGAACGTTCCTATTCCTTTGGTGTAATAGCTTCTATTGAAGGCAATGTCATTTACGATGCCAGTGGTCGCTTTGCCATTGCTCCAGCCTTGCAAGATGTGGCTGTATGGAACGTCCGTCAGGGCAACAAAGTGCGTGATCTTCTAGCACCGGAAAGTGGCGGCGGTCAAGTGACAGCGCTAGCTCTGAGTCCTGACGGCAACGACGTGGCGTGTGGGTACTCAACAGGTGCTATTTGTGTGTTTAAACTGGCCAATGGGGCACTGGTGGTGACACTGGACGGTCACAAAGGGGCAGTAGAGACACTGACATACCGTGCAGACGGTGCTGAGCTAGCGTCTGGTTCACGTGACACGGACGTGATTGTATGGGACTTGGTGAGCCAGACGGGGCTTTTTCGACTTAAAGGACATAAAGATGCAGTGACAGCGCTGGTGTTCTTGACTCCTAGGACACTGGCTTCAAGTTCCAAGGACACGCTTGTAAAAGTGTGGGATCTAGAGACGCAGCATTGCGTACAGACGTGTGTCGGCCACAGGAACGAGGTGTGGTCACTGGCTGTCAATTTGAAGGGAGATCGGCTGTTAACGGGCGCGTCGGACAATCAATTACGTGTGTGGAGTGTACAACACCAGGATGAAGAAGAAGGAGAGACGGTGAAACTTCTAGGCTCTATTTACAGACAGAGCAATGAACGAGTAGCTAGAGTGGCTTATAGTCCTAACGGAGACCTGGTGGGTGTGCAGAATGCAGGTAAGACGGTGGAGATATACCGTGTTCGTTCAGCGGACGAGATTAAGAAGAAACGCCAACGTCGTGAGAAGCGACAACGTGAGAAAAGTAAAAAGAGACAACAGCAGATTGAGGGAGCAGGAAGTAGCAAGAAACTTGTAATTCCTGAGGTGTCGGAAAAGGTGGAAGAGGACGCAGCTGACAATTCGGCTACGGACGAACTTGAGCTACTGTGTGTGGTGCGATCGTCTCACCGTGTAAAGTCGTTTGCTTTTTCTCCGGACGCGGCGAAGGACGGAACCACGTCGTTGATGCTTGGACTGCAGAACAACAGCATTGAGACGTACACATTGTCACCAAGTGTGACAACGCTCGAGGGCAGATATGGAAAGTCTCACGTACTTTCGTTGAGTGGACACCGATCCGATGTGCGTCAAGTGGCTATCAGTTCGGACGACCAGCTTATCTTGTCACTGTCGGGTTCTTCTGTGAAGATCTGGAATGCTCGCTCATTGCAGTGTATCCGCACGTTGAGCGATAGTCTGTCGCTCGCACTGTCGGCAGTGTTTGCACCAGGTAACATGCACGTTGTTGTGGGCACGAAGCTTGGTCATTTGCTTCTTTTTGACCTGAACTCAGGTGAGTGTATTTGGAAAGACGAGGAGGCTCACAACGGTGGCGCTGTGTGGTCCATCGACGTGCGTCCTGACGGACGTGGAATTGTTACTGGTGGTGCTGACCAGCACGTAAACTTCTGGGACTTTGAGATGCATCGCCCTGATGATGCGGAGCCGAATAGCGGGCTGCGTATGGGGCTGTCGCATACCCGTATGCTCAAAATGTCCGATGATGTGTTGTGCGTCCGCTTTAGCAACACGAAAGACGCCAAAAAGGTAGTAGTTGCGGTGGCTTTGTTAGACTGTACGGTGAAAGTGTTCCATGATGACTCGCTGAAGTTCTTTGTAAGCCTGTATGGCCACAAGCTGCCAGTCATGTCGATGGATATTTCTTCAGACGATACCATGCTAGTGACGGCATCTGCTGACAAGAATGTGAAGCTGTGGGGGCTTGATTTCGGTGATTGTCACAAGTCGATCTTCGCACACCAGGACAGCATTATGTGCGTGCGTTTCGTGCGCAAGACGCACTACTTCTTTACTGCATCGAAAGACAAGTCAATCTGCTATTGGGATGGCGACCACTTCGAGCGGATTCTTAAGCTTGATCGCCAGCACTTTGGCGAAGTGTGGGGACTCGCAGTAAGTGGCGATGGCAGCTTCGTAGTGAGTTGTTCGCAGGACCGCTCGCTGTGCAAGTACATCCGCACGGAGGATCAAGTTTTCATTGAGGAAGAAAAAGAGAAAGAGATGGAGCAGCTCTTTGAAGATGAGCTGAGCAACAACAGCAACAACAAGAGACCTGCTCTGGGCAAGGAGAAGGGTGAAGATGACGAAAGGAACAAGGACAATTCAGCTTCGGCCGCTAAACGAACTATTGAGTCGGTTCGTGCTGGTGAGAGTGTGATGGAGGCCATTGACCTGGCTGAAACGGAGCTGCAAGCTATTGCAGACTTTGAGAGAGTACAGAAAAAAAATAAAGGAAGCTGCGGTCGCTCTAAAAAAGCGCAAGCAGGAGAAAGAGAAAGCTGCTAAGGAAGCGAAGGCCAATGCTTTGCCTGGGGTTGAAGACGAGAATGATGTTGATATGGAGGAAACTGGTAAGCTTAAGAAAGCATCGCGTCCGCCTAACATGCTGCTGTTGGGTTACTCGCCGCTCAAGTACGTGCTCCACACGCTGCGTCGGATCCGACCGCATGATATGGAGGAGGCACTTATCGTGTTGCCGTTTGACTATGTGGAGCGCCTGATCCGGTTGTTACTGCAGCTGATCTCGAGTCATTTAGAGCTGGAACTCTGCTGTCGCATTGTGCTATTCTTGCTCAGACTGCACAATTCGGCCATTTGTGCGCGTGTGGGTCTTTTCAATGAACTTGAGTTGCTGTGGCAGCGATTGCGCTCACAACTTGTGGAGAACAAGAGCCGCATTGGTTTCAACTTGGCCGGTCTCAAGTATTTAAAGCGAACAATTGACGAGGAGCGAACTGGTTTCGTTCAGCAGATTGCTGCCACATCCGGCCGAACCAAGAAGAAGCGAAAGGTTGAAACGTAATTTCAAGACCATCGCGATAGAATCTCTCACTCAAGGCAAGTAGTGGGTAATAGAGCACAAACACGAATGCATGATACATAGATAACCCAGCGTAGCGTTGTTTACATACTCAACAAAGTCGACGAGGACTAACGTTATCAACTTCGAACCCATTTTCTTTCGTAATTGAAACTCCGGGCTAGAAATGAAGCGAGCAAGTGAGGTCAGCATTGAATCAATTGGCAAGAAACAATGCACGAGAAGCAATTCGTTCCCGTTCGACCACCAAGCCATTGAAGCGTTCATCCGCGATGGATTTGTACTGCTTTCAAAAGCCTTTTCAACATCTACGGCTCAAAAGTGTCGGGAAGTGATTTGGCAACGACTGGCTCAGGATGGCATTACAAAAGACTCGTCGACGTGGGTAGAGAGACACGGCATACCAGGTCACGGGTGACAATGCAAACACAACGCAGCAATAGAGAAGACAGCATGCTCATTGTTTATGTATGTTTTGGTTACAAACAGAGCTCTATACGGCGAAGGACGATATCGTGTGGAAAGACGTGATAACTCCACGTCTCAAACAAGCAGTGGATCAGCTCTGCGGCATCAACAAGTGGAAAGACTTTGGCCTTGGATGGTGGATAATCACATTCCCGGGTCAGGCAGAGCCGCCGTGGGAAGCGGCCGGCAAGTGGCACGTGGATGGTGCGACCTACCAGCATCATGTAGACAGTCAGGAATCTGGGCTGCTGGCGATTTTCCTCTTCTCCGATATCGGACCCGGTGAAGGAGGCACGGCGCTATCTGTGGGATCGCACAAGCGAATTGCAAGGATGCTGAAGAAAAATGAGCCACGTGGGATGAAAGGGGGTGCCGTGAGCTATCAGGCCCGACAGTTTCAGCGCCGAGAGGTTGTAGAGGTGAATGGCAAGGCCGGTGACGTGATGCTAGTGCATCCTTTCTTGCTGCATGCTCGAAGCAAGAATCTGGGACAAAAGGGAGTAGAGTCTGTGCGCATCATGTGCAACCCGAACGTGCAGCTGCACCGCAAGATGAACTTGAACCGAGCGGATGGAGACTTTAGCCCTGTAGAGCAGGCAGTGGTTGACGCATTGCAGGAACAAGCAATGGGTTGTGAGTACGAATGACACAATCAGATGGAAGTGTCCGACTCGGGCCGCAATGTGCCCTTCCTTACGCTTGCAAGTAAACAGTTGAGCCATGTGGAATCTCTCCTGGGTTGGCTTGAATTCGCACAGCTGTAGCGGTTTGTACGACTTGTTGCATCGAATTGGCTGCACTGTTCAATATACTGTGAGAGGTGCAGGTGAACATCCATCACCACATTAAGTGCTCGATCCAGATTGAATGTTTGTGCGGCGTTCTCTTGAGTAGAACCTGCTGGACTCTCTACTGTCCACGTCATTGAATCTATCGGTGGAAGTCTCCACGCTACGAGCTATAAAAACTGCATACCGCAACGAGAGCCGTTCTTGTGAGTGATGAGTCCTTCCCAGATTACCCCCTATGTTTTCAAATCCATGGATGTGATCTATCATTCAGTGCATGTTTGTCCGGCCCCGTGACTCATTGTCATTGTTAGTAGCACCTCCTCGTAGGAAGAGCTGTTCTCTTTATTCTGCATCTCTTGATTAGCAAAATAGTTGTTCCGACGGTCCCATTCGCCTCGAAGACACCGAGCGAGAGCTCAAAACGTCTTCCTGCTGTAACTAGAAGAATAGTCATTCAGCTAGTGATCGTCAGTCATGCGAGACTCTGAGACTTTGTCATGTACCACGACGTTGAATTATACCCGTTGGTCTACATGGTTACGACAGACGAAAGCTTACTAGGGTCAAGACGCTCACAAGGACGTGCAACGCAACAAAGAAATGATCAAGAGATTGTGCACTCAACATGGCCACCTACCTATGCAGACCATCTCTTGTAGTCGAACCACTTGTCGGGTGACAGTGCTCAAGCCACGTCCAAGTGACCCCAACTTCCTTTTGCTGGATCTTCTCCTCTTGAATGGTCCGTATCACTCTTAGTGCTGCTGCTACTGCAGCTAGTAGATCTTCATAAACCCAAGCTTCATTGTGTGTGAGAATGCTATCGTGCCATTGCGTTCTCTTTCGGTAATAGTTGGACTGCCTGCGTCCGCTTCCCATCTCGACGATCTCTTGACGTCAACCGCTGCTTCTTCTCTCGACTGGAGCCAGTAGAATGTAGAACGAACTTGACTGTCAAGGCACAACGCAATCAGTCTGCGAGAGAACAAGAACCACCTAAATTGTAGACAATGAACGGCGCCGGTGATGGTCCACAGCGTCGCTACGTGCGCCCCAGTGATCGACGTCTGGCTGAAGTGGCTGCTCAAGCTGCAGCTCAAATTGACCTCAACACACTGCAATATCGACGTTCGGTAGCTGCCGGCGTTACGACCGAGCGCTCCAGGGACGGCGCTGTCGTTACTGCAACAAGTGTCATTGAGTGTTCACTTGCAGAGATGCGTGGTCTATTGGCGGCACCCACGAACGATCATTATGCCTGCGTGATGCGAGAACTTGTCGGTCAGGACTTTATCTATGGATCTATCGTGCACCATGCCGAGGAGATCAAGACGTACAATGTGACGGTCCGGACGGCGACGTTCTTGAAACGCCACATGCTGGCACGCAATGAGCAATGGTGTTACGTCAGTGCTGTCAAGACGCTTCAAGCTCTCGGTAACAATGATGTTGACGGGTTCACGATCGAACTTGCGTCGCTGGATCCGGATGATGTGTTTAATGGCAAGGCTCAAGCTGCCAGTGTGATCAACATCCGGGGCCTCTCGATTCTCTTTCTCGTCACTGCTGAACCAGGCAGGATTATGAAGGGGGGAAGAACGAAGCGAGCTGTCCGGGTCACTTTTTGTGCACATGTTGCGACTATCGGTTCAAGCAGACCCTCACGCTTTCGGTGGCTCAACTTAGCGAGGAATCGCGAAAAAGCCGACGATGCGTCAAATGGAGCTGTGCTATCACGAGTCGTGCAGCTTGCGCAAGTACCAAAGCAGCTTCCGGTTGCAGTGCGTCGACGTCGACTGGACGCACAAGTACTTGCCGATTTGCGAAAGGTACAGCCCAGTAACTCTCGTTGCGCATGCTGCACGCGCCGGGTTGGTGTTATGAGAACTATCTTCAGTGCATCAAAGGGAAAATCGTCGTCGCGAGGTTCCAAGCGCTGCCAATTGTGCGGGTTTCTTGTCTGTGCTCGTTGTGTCTGCACGGTCGGCACGGGCTCCATGTCGAGTGAAACGTCCGAGCCTTCCACAACCGGTGTCAAGCACAGCCAAGCCGTGCATCTTTGTGAACACTGCATGCAGCGTGTAGATGACGCTGACTATGACAGCTACTGTGCTTCAAATAACAGTTTGTCGCCTTTGGCTATCCAGCCTGATAGTCCTGATACAGAGCCGGTCAGCGCGGCGATCGCACGTGCACTTTGCCAAACGCTTGGGAACGCTTCTCAAGAAGAAAAACCTGTAGTCATCCGAGTTATCAAGCACCTCCTTAGTCCGAAACAGGAAAGAGAACCCAGCAAATTCCGTGCTGACTCGGTCGAATTGGCCAAGAGCTTGACCCACTTGGCGAAGAAACAAGGATTGTCGAAAGAAATACCCAAACCAAAGACGAAGCAAGGTCCTAAAGTCATGTCTTACGGTTCATCAAGTCCGGAAGATAAGAGCGTTCCCCCGGTAGCAGGCACCTCAGGACGTCAATATGTGCTGCAGTATGCTGACCTGTGCGAAGACAATGCTGCGGAAGATGCCGAGGATACCGAAGACACTGAAGGTGCTGAAGACACTGAAGAATTCAAAAACGGTGATGTGGTCAGCAATCTGGCGCGCCATCCCGTACCAACTGACGAAGCCCACCGACTGCAATGGGTTGACAAGCATCGCAACATTGTTTCATGTATCATGGGTCTTCCGGAACTGCATCTACTGTGCGATCTCGCTCGTGGGGCTCTCAAATGTGATGATGCGCTGGTTTCGATTATCGGACACAACGCGGTGCACGTGGTGGCGTCCACCAACCCTGCTTGGCAAGGGTCGCGGATTCCTCGTGACCAATCGATGTGTTGTCACGCCATCATGACTGGAGCACCACTTCTTGTTCGTTTCCCCGAAGCTGACATACGCTTTCATTCGATGGACATTGTGCGTAGCGGAATACGTTTTTATTTCGGCTTTCCGGTAATGATCATGTACGGCGATGGTGGACGTTCATTTGCCGTCGGGACGTTCTGTTGTGTCAACGCTGGCACAACTCGCGAGGTATCGGAATCCCAGTACGCGTTCGTCGCTACTCTCGCCGAAGGTGTGGCGCGTGTCATGGAGAAGTTTGCTGAAGAGCTAGATGAAAGCTGTTAAAATTGTTAATACAATAACACCGGCGAAGTTCCGGTTCCTGTAGCATTTTGCACTCGCATAATCAACTGTCGCGTTTGTAATACCGGTCAAGCAGATCATCGTCAAACAAACAGCCAACCTCGATCTCACCGTAATTCGTAATAGCATCCGTACACAACAGATTGTAGTATGAACACTTATCTTTGGCTGTCAGCATTGGCAGCTCTAATGAGACTGACGCTCCCAATCACCCATGAGCTCTAGGCAGAATTCGTGAAGTCGGCCACTCAGTAGCAACCGCTGCACAAGCTGGCGCACCTCTAAACTACTAGACGAGATGCAACCACACAGCGCTGGATACATCTCCATGATACTACGCGGCTGCAAGTCCACCTCCAACGCACTTTTCAGAAACACAACCACCCTCTCACGGGCAGCGACGACCTGAATGTCTTCCTGAATGTCGCCCCCAGAAAGTGCTGGAATTGACGACAATGCTTGAGCCGACATGTCTGGAGACTGCGGTTTTGAGAGGGTAGAACTGTCTAAATCAGCAAAGCGCACCAAGGCTTTGTTGCAGCACGCAACAAGTCGGGCACGTGCGAACAATGTCAGCTCTTTGTCTGCCATTTGGATACACATCGTAGCCAATTGCCGCACATAGCACCGAATAATAGACTTGTTGTGCTCCATCGCATCCATACCGGAGCACAGCACTGCTATCAAATCGCCAATAAAGGCATTGTACTGGTGTCCGGCTTGAGACTTGATGTCGCTGCCATCGCTAAGCAGTGCGATGGTGCTGTCCACCGCGCACTCTAGCACACTCAGCACCAACACCTCGTCCTCTTCTGACTGCACACATGATGGGAATTTACCCCTACTTGGCTGGACAAAACCTACGATGATTTCAAGCAAGGGTCTCCAACAAGCTTCAGCCAACCGGACAGCCACGAGCCCATTTGAGGTAACGACCAAAAGGACACGCAAAGCGTGCTTCCACAACTGCGTCGCAGCTTTCTGCGCTGCCGTCATTGGCTTGTCAGGAGACGGGGATGGGCTTGATTCCGGCGTAGTGTGGCTCGCATCGAACTTCAAGAATGGCTGGATGCAAAAGAGAACCGACAAAAAACGTTTCTCCTTGGCTTCCTTTGATACGCTAGCATACAGCTTCGCCAATGAAGTTAGTGCGTGGCGGGTGAAGAAAACAAGATCCTTAGCCGACGATTGTGTCACATACCCCACAAGGTGATCTAACGTTTTTGTGTGAACTTCCGGGTGAGACGCAAATGAGTCACACTCTTCAAATGCGTTTAGCACGCGTGACTGTAAGCTGTTTGTCGTGATGTTCGTGATCGCCTTAGTGACTGCTCCATGGCCAATTGTAGGCGTACCAAGCACATGACGGGAGATCAGTGCTGCAAATAAATCCAGCATCTTATCCACGTTGCGCACATCCTTAAATTCGTACTCTTTTGCCTGCGTATATAGCGTCACCAAAACCGACACCACTGCGCTCCCAATTTCCTGTTCCTCGTCTTCTTTCCAGGGAAGGGCAGGATTCTCGTCCTTTTCAGCAGCAGTTTGCCTCTCGTCGCACAGGCGCAATAGTTGACAGAATGCTTCCTCCCAAAGTGCAGGATCCCGAAACACTGGGGCGGAGGTAGCACGCCGCAAAGTCGGAGAAGTTGATATGGTAGACGTTGGTGTTGACGAAGAAACAAGAGCACCCCCGACAACGCGCATGCCAACTCCAGCGCGAATAGGCTGCGACTGCGTGATGTGATCAAAATCTCCTGCTGATGAGATTTGTAATAGCGTTTGGAGTGTTTTGACAGCCGCAAGCACGACTTCTTTAGGCATTCCAAAAGCAGCATTCAGCGCTACATGCTGAAGTAGTGCTCTCCATATGGAGACATACCACGACGTGTGCTGCAACAAGTAGTGCCAGTTGGTCTCCAACACGCGACTAATTCCAGTCAGCATAAGCACCCGAGACTCGTTCCACTGTTTCTCAGCGTTATCGCGTGAATGATGAAGCATGTAGTTGGCAGAAGCCTTAGACTCATCCTTTTCAAGCGAGCGCGAGCTCTTCCTTTTCTGAGTCTCGCACAATTTGGCAGCAAGCGGCAGAACCGTCGAGTCCATAAAGAGTTGCCACTCACATAGTTTAAACTGAGCACCGTACGTAACTGCTGTTCCAAAAAGGGTGTTAATCGCACTGTTCCGCACCTCTGCTCGGTCGTTCAACGCTACGTAGCTGAATTCAGCAAAAATATACTCCCACTGGCTTTGTTTTCGCTGACCGAGATCGGCATCTTGTCGCGCCTTCTGCTTACCGATCACGTCGGCCACGCTCCAAAGCTCGTTCACAGCCGTAAGACTAATGTTGACATCCTTAGCACGACTGCCAAAACGACCAATGCACTTGATGCAACCTGGGAGGTAACAGCTGGGAATTGACACGACCAAATCGTCAACGATGAGGCGCAAACATTTGAAAGCGAGCACCTGCGTCTTTCCGTCTCCGGCCTCACAAGCTTCCTGCACTGCAGCTAATATCAGCGGCCAGCCACTGCTGATAAGGTGACCACAGGTGCTGAGCATTTCAAGCATGCCAGTCAATGCGCGGTCTTTCATGCCTGAGCGTGCTAACACCAGCAAAGGCATAAACAGTTCTTGTTGATTAAACACCTGCGGAGACGCAAGGTTTTCTTCGTTTCTGACAGCATCACGATTTTCCATTGTCGGCTTTGCGGTGGGTGATGCACTGTTGACGATATGTTGCAGTGCATTTTGCATGAGTTGCAGGATACTGTCCGTCGTGAAGACCTGGAATTGGCCAAGCTGGGGGAATTTGGCTGCCGTTAGCGGAGCCTGGGGCACAAACGTACTCATAAGGACTAGTTCACGCATAACCTCCTCGAAGCACCGCTTACTACTTGACGCTAACTGGGTCAGCATACGCAAAGCAAAATATGGCATGAAAGTACCTGACCCAGTGAGACCAACACCTAAGTAGCTTTGGTAGGTTCTCATAAGGTGATAGCTTGCGGGACTAGACACATCGCCATCATCGACTATTGTCCAGTCGTCGCAGGATGACACTATGCTAGCAGATTCAGAAGTCGACCCAGAATCTCTGTTCGGCAGTGGGAGACCAACTTGATCCCAAGAAACCCTTTGAACTGCAGCTAACAGCTTACGCAGTGCACCACTGCTCAGCTTGAGCGCATTACGAAAAAAGTCCACAATCGAATTACTCAGCATCGCCAGCTGCTGCTCCACGTCTTCGTTTTCAACTCGGAAAGCGCTGATCCGATAGCTTTTAGTTGGCAGTTTTTGCTGCCCGTTCTTCAGCTTCGGATCCGTAAGACCCACAACAATCTCAAAGCCCTCCAGTAACACGCACCACTCGATCTGCGAAAGCTCTTCACACATTACGTGTGCAGCACCGAAAAGTGCCTTCATCGCATGCACCTCGCGCCAGCTAATTATCACGAGACAGCTTTTGCCATCTTCCGCCACTGATTCATCTTGATAATCGGTAGATCCACCGCCACCAAAGCTAGTCGTTGAATTAGATACCTTTGAGTTTCCTCGAATACTATCCGGCAACGGAAAGCAAAAGCCGCATAAGGCTTGTAAGCAAGTAACAACTACCTCACCCATCGGCTTACACCATGTATCCCTTGCAATTTGACTCTGCATGTTTGCTCGAAGCCGCGACGCAATCGTAGCCAGCACATGGTATGACTTGAGAGACATGGTGACGAGGTCCATTTCGCGGCAGTGCCGCATCACGCAGTTCATGGACTGAACTACTGCAGGGGCTACTACTGCAACGCATGCCTTAGCAAGCTTCTCACACTCTCTCTCATTGTCGGTGGATCTTGATAACTCAAAAACTGAAGCTGCCATATTGCACTGACACGAAGCCGCAACACGGACAGCAATGTAAAATTGCTGGAGCATGGGCGTTTCTTGCTCGTTCAGCAGCTCGAGACCCGAGCGAGGTACAGCGGCATCCGGACCTTGAGGCCTAAAATCTAATGGAGGTGACGTCATGATTACAGAAGATGTGGTGCGAGTAATTGCAACCAGGACCCCATTAGGATAGCTCACCATCGCAGCAATCGTGTCAGGCTCCAAACACACACGATTCATGACTTCCAGTGATAGCAGAACTGGCCATGTGACGAAATTGATGCCTCCTCCAGCAGAGCCAGTTGTGCTGGAAGCACTAGTGTTTGATAAACTCGAGTGGGTCAAAAAGTTTTTGGCGTCCTTGAAATTGGCAATTGCATTTGCCGCATATACTTTTGCGTCAGGTAATTTGGACGGTGTGGGTGCTGCTTTCGAGGTATCTGGAGTTGTGTACGTTCCGGTGGCGATGGTTTCCAGCAGTGCGTGCACAATCATCGCACACTCGGACTCAAAACAATCAGCAAAATGGCACAATAGGGTGCTCGCAAGCCGCATGCCGCGAACAAGCAGCGGGAAGAACGGGCCCGCTGCACCGTTCGTATTGCTGCTAGTTATTGACGTGTTTGCCGGCCCCGTGATACCTGAACCGGCAGACCCGCCATACTTATCATTACAACCCATCTCGAGTACGAATTGTACCAAAGGAATCATTTGATGCTTTAACATCGCCTTGAATTCGATATCAAGTCGAAAAAGCCCGTAATGAGATGCCAAGACTGTCTCCAGTAATTCCACACCCAATGCAGCACTCATTGGCGACGTCGCTGTGCGTTTTAACCACATGCCGTTCTCTTCTCGACTCATGAAACACAATTCCTGGAACAACAGCACTCCAACATGTTTTGCCTCTGGATTTGAATCCACTTTTCCAAATACCAATGACACCAATTGTCGAATTGTCATGGCTGCTGTATTTCCCACGACAGAACTAGCACTGCTACTAGCTGCATGCAGATGCAAACAGATCCAAACGGCCTGCATCACCATATCTTCATTCCCCACCAGCACGTTTTCTGTGTTTTTTTCGAATAAAACCCACAAAAAACCCAGTTAACAAAATCTTTCATCCAACAAAACAAAACACCAAAAAACACAATCCGTCCTAACCGCGAGCCTGACCGTCCTGTAGGATCCTAACCCGTGTCAAAGGTCTCCCTGACCCTTTTTTTGTTTCCTCGTACGCCAATGTCATTAACTGAAGTAACGTCTGAAGTAACTTGACCTGTACATCAACCTGGGTGTTTTTCTCGGCCTGAATCTGTAGGACTCGTAGGATACTTCCCACACTAGCAGGTTCAATAGCATCCCAGCTCACAAGACGTTGGATACTGGCCAATGCAAGCACTAGGATCTTTTGTGATGCATTTGTGTGATTGCAGGCCAATAAAAAAGGCCGTAGGACGCTCTCACTCTGAAACATCACATGTCCTGGACCTGGCGCACGTCCTTCGACACGCAGTAGCGCCGCATACTGCTGCTGTAAAGCCGGTAGCGTCTCCAATGCGCGATTTACTGCTTCCTTTACAACCGGGTACTTACGTTTAGCTTCCGATCGTAACGCATGGAGATCAGCGGCGAGCTGCCGTAGGAAATCCATCGCAGGACGTGGTTGAATAGAGTTGAATATTGGGGAGACGTGTAGTTTTACGGTGAAGAATAGAGTCCTCTTTTCGAATAAGGACACTTTTTTACTTTGGTTTAAAAATATAGTACTGTATTATGTATATAGTACTGTATTATGTATATAGTACTGTATTCTCGTAGCTGCAGCTACTCTTTGCAAGGTTAAGTTCTACTCAAGACTAATGTCAGCATTTCGACTGCATGTGTACTTCTTATCTTAGTCAATTTAGTTTACATATCTCTGACGAGGCATTGGATAGCTAGGTAAGTCAATGTGCCGATACCGTTCTGATTTGTCCGATTAATTTGCCACAAGTTTTTTAAAAAAATTCTAGTGAGAAAAGCTTCTGCTTAGAATTGTAAGAAGTGTTTTTGCTTAGCACCACGTCCAATGGGACACTCACGCAGCAGTGATGACTTGACTTGGTACAGCTTGAGAGTCTCTGGGCTATGCCGATATTAAGCTCGTGCAAGTCAAAGTATTGTCTTTTAGTTATTGGGGTCTATAAATCGAGCAGTGATGGCTAACAAAAAGTGAATGTGAAAGCGTGCAGAGCACGCTGCTCATTGCTATGTGAGACTGTAGGACGATGACGATCTATATGTCAAGGTGACGAGACAAGCCTGGTCGAGTCAAGGTCATGTGTACTTGTCACAATAGTCAGACGTCATGTATCACACGTTATTTTCTTATTGCTTACGGCTCAATTATATGCAAAAACTCCATAGTATGTGAGACCACTACATGTGCAACAAATACGTTCGTTGTGTCAGTCGCGATGTACATGGCAGACCGATTCGTCTGCCAAATACGATGCTTGACATGATTGACACTAGATGTTAGCTTTATTTGGTCGTTTTTTTCCAGTTTAAGTGTCGAGCGGGTGCTTGTTCTCGCACGGGTGGTGGTGCTCTACCATTCCAACGTATATACCGCCACCAATCGCGCCACCTAGAATGGGGCCTACAATCGGTACCCAAAAGTAGTAGTCCCGAAGAGTGAAGACACTTGAGCCCCAGCCAGCACATAACGAGAAGAGTCGCGGGCCAAAGTCGCGTGCCGGATTGATGGCATAACCCGAGTTCATGCCGAACGCCATACCGATTGCCACCACCAACAAAGCCACAGCTACAGGCTGGGCGTCTGGACTCGCAGGCTTGTTCAACTGGTCACCCAGAGCAAAGATACCTCCCAATAGCAAAGCCGTACCGACCATTTCCGTCAAAAAACAGGTACTAACCGGAACGTCGCTGCTGTACGGGTACGTGGCAAAGATGCTTCCAGTCGATTGCTTGCTCGGATCCATTTTATGAATCATGGGGCTGTAGACGGCCCACACAATAAAGGCAGCTACGAAAGCTCCCAATACCTGCGCGGTGATATATGGAATCACTTTGCGCCTCTCGAAACGACCGAAGAGGGCGAGGGTCGTCGTCACTGCAGGATTCAGGTGGGCGCCCGAGATGCCTCCTGATACGTGGATGCCAAAGAGAACGCCAAGTCCCCAGCACAGGTTGATACTGAAGTAGTCACCCCTGCTGCCCTCGCTAAGCACAACCTGAGCCACGACTCCGTCACCGAACATGATGAGCACCATGGTGCCGAGAAACTCGGCCATGCATTCGCGTAGCAGCGGTGACTTGATTTGGTACGGCTTCGGTAGTGGCGTCGACATCTTGGCTACGTCAGCATCTTGTATGCCGTTAAAGTAGCTGTCTCTATCCTTGTAGCCACGAGTGGATGACAAAGTATCCATCACAAGAGAGAGAGAGAGAAAGAGAGAGAAAAAGAGAGAAAACCGGAGGAGGAAGTGGAGCTTCTCGGTGTGAGGGAGAATCGAAAAGTGACATGCCAAGAAGAGTGAGGGACTGGTCAACCCCATCAGTCATGAAGTGAGCCGGTGTAATTGCTTCAACGTTAACGTGATACACGCGGCAAAAACGGGCCCGATGTGAAGTGTTTTAAGCTGTTACGTCTGTAATGAGTGATCACTTTGATTGCCTGGCGTAGCGATCGTTCGTGGCGATGCCAACCGACCCCGCATCTTTGCACGTGAGTATTTAATGATATAACGACAGCCCCGTCAATGAAGCGCTCGGTCGTAACATCGATAGATACCGAACGTCGATATTGCAGCGCTTTTCCAAGTCAATTTGGGCTGCAGCTTGATCGGCGAGACGTCGATCATTAAGGCGCACGTAACGACGCTAAAGACTATCTCATTCTCCACAGTTCAGTTTGTTTCTTATCCTCTTGCAGGCTGATTGCGCTGCCTTCCTATACATTTATTAAATGAAATGGACAGTCCCTTCATGGATTAGCACTTGTTTGCTGAGCTGACTTACCGCTGGCTTTTGAAACCTCCCCCACCCACGAATATTCGTCGGATTATGTCGGGGATCGTTTATCGTCGGCCTTGAATATTCATCGGCTCTGTATTGATTATCTCATTTTCTACTCTTGAGGGCCAGATGTCGTTTTCCTGTTTACTTCTGTTCACTCTCTGATGAATCTGATCGCCCTCAGAGTTGGGAGCTCACTCAATGCCACGATGGCATAACTTGGGTTTTCGACGGCGCTCCGCCGCTAGTAAAAGGGAAATCGCAGGAGCTCACCCAACAAGCGGAGAGCAAGCTCAGCCGACATGGGGTTGTCTTTTTTTCCAACCCACAGATCCACCACTATCCGTGGTCCGCACCGCCTACGGTCCCCAACCATCGACTATTCACTTTTTTGAAAAAACAAGCTTTTCAGGCGACAAAGCGCGGTCTCGCAGCACCGCTGAAGCAGGTCATCGATCGGCTAGTCACAAAGAGCCAGAATACGCGGTGGCAATGCACAGCTTTAAATGTCACGCCGGCTCAGCTATGGGATCACGGCCATGCGGTAACGGAATACCAGTTATGGACACGATATCGACACGCTACCGGACAGCTAAACTTTTGGTACCAAAACCGACCCCCGGACGGATCATGCACATATTTGGAATGTGTAGGCCAAAAGGAAACCCAGGAGCATCTCTTTTGGGGATGTCCCCGCGCTCAGGCAATCTGGGCCCGGCTTATCAGTCATTGGGAGAGTACACCTCACCATCCTACCCACCTCCTGGATTGGCTCGAACACTGCGCAAACTGTAGCGTACCACGTATCTCGCCGCAGGTCACAGCAAAGCTGTTAGCCCGGTACCCGGAACACATTGATCTATTCGCCACAGCCTGGAGGACGATTTGGGAAGTCGCAGTGACCGTCATTATCACAATGCTCTGGCAACTTCGCGTGGATAGGATTTTTAACAATGCGCTTATTCCGATACAAGCCAGTGAAACTTTGATCTGGAATAGGATTCAGCTCCAACTGAGGGCGCTCATCAAACGTCTCCATTGCAGAGCGGCCACAGCCGTCCGTGGAGCCCAACTATCTGCATGTTACGACATATTTATATCAGAACCGAGAGGGCAGTCCGGCGTTCATAGACGGGCTGCCAGCCGTAGGCAATTCCTGGACCCTCCAGCGTTGCTAGTGTGGTTAACTACCTACCAGAGATCTTGCACTAATCAGTAAATAGACAATCTGTTCTCTCTCTCTCCTGTTTACTTCTGTATATTCTATCGCATGAGATAGGCATTTAATTTTCTACTTTCTTGATGGATTGGCACGTTTTCGCTGAGCTCGTACGTCAACACTCGCGTCACCGATCAAATCATCGTCGACTTGAAAATTTGTCGACTCGTTGATACGGTGTCGTGTATATAACATAGGGAATTCCCACATTCTCGTGATGTTCCTACACTACAGTAAATACAGTTCTCTTTTCCTGCAAACAGACGGTCGGTATTTGCACGCTTCCGGTGTAACGGGTGGCACTAAATGGGGTGGATCATAAGTGCGTTCGCACTTAGTTCTGTCACTTGGAAGACGTACACATCAAGTATTAGCGTTGACGTCACGGAAGGACGTCATCTAAGAGCCTTCATACATGTAAGCTCGCTACGTAGGGACGACGACGTGTCTAATGATAGTGTGCGTCCATTCATATTGTTATAGCCCAATAGTCATTTTGATCACTATGTAACACATTGGTGACGGGTACTTCTAGAGACCTGTCGCGTACTACTTAGCACACACCTTCAGCACAAGAGAGGATGTGGTTGTCTAACCTTCGAGTGCAATGGTGGATGATTGCTCGGTCGCACCAACGGTTGCCGCCGCAGAAGCGAACTGCGCAACGAACTCCTAAGCAAGTGCTTCCACTTGCGCCACGCAGAAGCTTATTCAGCTTCTCGTAGGTTAGTTTGCAAATGTAACGGGTTACACGACGGTTGAAATATCATACCGAAAGTACATCACGGTTGAAGGTTTCTATATTGCATATAATGTATTTTTAATCCCGATCCGTTTAATAAGGAGTATTATATATGCGTGATATAGGAATGTACTGTATCAGTAATACCTTATACTACGGCATCGATTCCTTAATCAGCTCTCATTTTAGGCTAAATGTAACGGGGTGAGTCCGTTACGTGACACTTATATGAAGTGTCAATAAAAATATTATTATAACTAATAATATTTGACAGTATTATATTTTGTTATAATATTGTCCTCGCATCTCCTTGAAGCTGGAGATGCCCTCTAATTGTTTTAATCTATGCCGTTATATTAATCAAGGGGCTGACTAATGACCGATGGATGCGCGCAATGAATGGAGAGCACGAAGGTAGCATACATATCTGTACTTTAATATAGTTAAGACAAGGTTATTAATGATTTAGTTTTATTAAATAGTTTAACTAAATACAGTTCTCTTTTTCTCGACTTCTAAGCGTGATGTTTAGAAATAAAGCTTTCACTGCCTCTTTGTGTAAAAGAGGTTTTGAGGCACCTGCTTTCACTGTCATCAGTGAGGGAAACTATACTATTATCAGTATAGTTGGAGCGTTGCCCATTACATTAAAGATCCCAAGTCTCTCTAGGACTTGTTCTCATGCGCACTTCATGCGTAGGTTCCTTGAACCTCTAAGCTCTTAGCGTATTCTTGAACTCTGTGCGTTGGTTCAAAGAGCCCTTAAGCTATTGCTTATAGACTAGAAGCTCCTCCTACTTCCGTAAAACGGGTAGACTTTGTATCCGTTTGATAAGTTCCTTAGAGCTAAGTGGCTTTTAGCCAAAACTTTGTATTAGTTCTATAGAACCAAGAGGTTTTCAGTCTAAGAATTTTTCCTCTGACCTAAGAGCTGTGTAGCTCATCTAATGCTTATTCAAGACTGATTTATATATTTTGAATATAACTAAACATAAATCTAATTATAGTTTTGTAACGGGGCTAGAGCGTACCGTCACTAGCTTACACGCGCGCTTGAGGAAGACTCAAGCCCAAGATGTAGACATGCACTTCTTCGAAGTTGCCTCGTGCTACTAGCACACACCTTCAGGACAAGCGAGGAAGCGGTTAGACCGTCTTACCTTCGCGTGCGAGGGTGGTTAGGACGTTGGTCGACTGCATAAGCAGTCGTACCACCAGTTGCCTCTCGCTTAAGCGAGAGTGCAACGAACTTCTAAGACAAGAATACACCGACGTCACGTAGAAGCTTTTCGGCTTCTCGTGCGTGGTGCTTTTGATTTAGCAAATTCAAGACTGAGCCATATTAAATGAATTATAATTAATTATAACTAAATATATGCTTAACTACTGATTGGCTATATACATATATATATAGATCGGATACGCGACTCTTTAGAAGCGCATCCTGACGCACGAGCTTCAATCCAGATTTAAGCTTGCGAATGACGTCCTTCTAAGACATCGCGATGCCTAGCTTCAACTAGCGTCATCCCTTCCCATGTGAATCCATAAATGGATATCACATTCACGAGGGTGGATCACATTTGTGTATCGCACACAAGTGACAGGTCAAAAGTAATCATGGATACTTTTAGACCAAACATTAAGTATATTACTTAATGTTTACGCGTAACTAGATGCCCTGTTACACCATCCCCCTTTTAGAACGATTTTTACAGTTTGTAAAACATCGCCTAGGAGACAGAGAGACTTGCGAGCCATTATAAACGCGCCGCTTTAGTCTGATCAATTCTCACGCCACCGAAACGTGGTGAGGCTGATGGGTCGCCTGCAAATGTACCCATGCAGTCCAGCACTAAGCGCACGCGCCGCGATATTTATCGCAGCCGTCGCAAAGTGCCTCAGGCACTGAGGTGAATCTTCCATCTCACTATAATGTGGATGAAGATCCCTCTCTCATTTTAGATTAAAATGAGACTACACCACTGCCATCACCCCAAAGTGGTGATGAGCAAAGCGCGTTGATGGGACATATGTCCCCATCATTTGAGGCGCCCGTCCTTGAGGGAGCATCTATGCTTCCTGCAAGCGAAGGTAAAACCTCGTCGTCTGCGCCTACGAGCGCAGCGACTAAGACTGAGCACTCTACTTCGAAAGGAGTAGTCGCGACTCAGTCAGATGTAACTTCTCAAGCTGATGTCTTGACAATTCATAATGGAGAGTCAGACTCAGTCGAGTGTGAGCTTAAAGCTCCACCAAGTACACCGTCGGCCTCACTAGCCCTCCGTCGCGAGGGCGGCTACGTGAGTGGTGGCTTGCCACCAATGCCTCCTCCATCTGAGTGGATGAACTCGGATGGGTCTAGTGCAGCGCTTTTGCAGCGTGCAACTATAGACGCTCATAAATTTTATAGCGTCTTTCCTTTGTGGAGAAAGCAGGGCAAAGCACTTGGT